AAATATTACCGAATTTTTTTTGGGTTCCCCATAGAGCTGCAAACACGGTAAATTTTACCATATTCTGGTAGTTCGACCATACTTTTTTTTCTCAGTGAAATACCAAATTATTTCAACTCAATTTACATTTCGTGTTCTATGGAATATGTATCAAAATTTTTTTCTCGAAAATCAAATAACATTAAGCACAAAAATCAACTGCGTATTTCTTTAATATGATTACAAAACCAATCGATAATATCCATTTTAGAGTAAAATTTTACCAGAGATCAACGCCGTAAATTATCGGGTTATTATTATTGGTCATTTCGCCGGTCTCAGTAATGCCGGTATGTATGCCGATGAAGGCCGTTTATTTTGAATCATAACTGTTATCGTTTGAAGCCATAAATCATACTTAAGAATAAAGAAGCCGATAGAAAAATGGTAACTTTAAAGATATATTGTAAAGTACTTAAATATTAATGGTATTTTATTAAAATTTTTTTTGGCAAAGTGAGCGTGGTTTTAATTTTTGTCTGTTACTGACTGCTGTTTCTTTTATGATTAAAAATAAGGAATATATAGTTCAAAGGTAAGATTAAATTTGTATTTCTCTGTTATAATTTTAAAAAAAAGACATGAAAAATTCATAATTTTATTTAATAGTTCCTATAAATTATGTTTTACGCAATCGCGTTATGCAATATATTGTGTTCAAAATTATAATTATAAAAAGTAAAAGAGGTATAATTCGAAGAACGATTGTTTTTGTAGAAAATTGTCAGTTTTGTTTGAAAAAATTATATTAATTGATTGTATTTTATACATAACTGGTAAAATATAAAAATATTTTAAAAGCATTTTAATTTTAACAAGTTTTTTTTAATTAAATGCACCATTGTATCAGATTTTTGAACTCTTTTAATATGTATCATGTCATATTTTAATTTTTAGAAACATAATTTCAATTTTCAGAAGTTTATTTTTTCTATTTTATGAAATAAAAATTTAGCCAGAATACTTTGAAATGCGTCCTGTAATAGTATTTTTTTTATTTCCTATTTTTGTTCTTTTATTAAGTTTTGCATCTGGGTTATTCAAATGTGCTACTATATTACAGTGGCGTTATACTAAAAAGATTTAAAGTATGAATCATGAATTTTTATGTTTACAAATAAAGTTAAATAAAATATATAAAGTTAAAAATGTATAAATATAAAGATGTTGTGCAGACATTTTCACTGAGAAAAAAGTATGATTAAAACTACCAGAAAATGGTAAAAATTTTCTCGGTTCTGGCTCTATGGGAACAGCAAATAATTTATATCGAATCGTTTTGGTAATGATTTTGGTAAAATTAATAACAAAATATGGTTTCATACTATGTGATAAAATTTGGTAAATTTACTAATATTTCGTTGTTTTATCATGATACTTTAGAGAATGACATAGAAATAATTTATTCTGTTAAATTTGCTTCTCAGTTTTGTATTTTTTACTAAATGTGAGGTAATAAGAACTATTATTTTAATACCCAGAATTTTTGGCAAACCATTACAATACGAACGGAAAAATTACCAAATGAATGGTTTAAAGGCTACATATTTTGGTTTCATTAACCAAAATTATGTTTTTGTAATAGAAATATCATTACCAAATGAATGGTATGGTAATTTTATCAAAGTTTTTCTCCATGTAGAATTTATTGACTGTATTGTAGTAAAAAATACTAAAATTCGATTAATTGCGTGGAAAAGAGAACAATGAAAGAATTTTAAGAGTGAAAAATTTTAATATATTCCGATGAGTACACATGGAGTACACATTAATTTTGCAAACTCAAATGCAATAGTAATTTTCTTCAAATTTGCGATTACATCAGATTATCGTTGCAAATAGGAAATCAAATTTGAAATACATTTTTTTAAATATAGATATAAAGTTCTACCTTAGTGAATAATGTCATGAATAGTGAAACTCGGTTTGGTGAGATTATAATAGTAATATTCAAATTAATTTTATCCCGAGGTAATAAACTTCATTTGAATGACAGAAATTCCATTCAAACTATAGATAATTACACGAATAAAATTCTGATAAAATTGCCGTAGTGTATGATAATGACATCTCCGGTTAAAAAACTGCCATAATTCTGGTTATAAAAACCAAGATATACTATATTTGAACCATTCAGTTGGTAATTAAGTTAAGTCATATGGATAAGACCAGAAAATCTGGTTTTCAAAATTATAGTTCCTACTACCCCACATTTAATGAAAAATATAAAACTGAAAAGTAAATGTAACCGACTAAATGGTTTTTATGCCATGCTCTAAGGTACAATGATAAAATTACTAATTGCTACCATATTCACCAAACTTTGACACATGTTATAAAACCATATTTTACTGTTAATTTTACTAAAATTATTACCAAAGCAATTTCTTTAAAAATCACTGAGCTTTTTGGTGTTGCCATGGAGCCAGAAACACGGTAAATTTGATTATATTCTGGTAATTTGGACCATACTTTTTTTCAGTGTACATTTGATAGATCAAACTACAGCTGAACCATTCAAACTATAGACGATGTAGTTTATCTACCACTACAAAAATACAATTCCAATTCCCTAGTATATAAGGCATGTTAACTCGATTCAGTTGTGAAGTACCTTTTCATAGATGAAGGTTGACATTGTCTTTAACTTCTCTCCCCACATTGGCTACTTTCGGACGTGATGTGAACACGCCTATCTTGATAGTAACGCCCTCTTTGAACTGAACACACCTACTTCGATGGATGGTCCACATTGAACAGTTGATTTGCTACTTGTGACTGCGACATTGACCTCCTCACGCTGTTGCTTCTCAGTCTCGATCGCACACAACGTTGAGCTGCATACACTCGACTGCTAATGGCAACACAGGAGCTACCACGGCCGTGATCTTAATACAGCTCTCACGCTCGGCACTCAAAAAGTGCGATGATCTTAATACAGCCCTCCCGTCTTCTCACAAAACAGCAATGAATCAATTAGTGGTATCCTATTAATCAAATTCTATCACAGATAAAATTCTGGTGGGGAAGTACTGTAGTGTATCTACCACTACAAAAATACAATTCCAATTCCCTAGTATATAAGACATGTTAACTCGATTCTATGTTGGGGTAACTTTTCATAAATGACGGTTGACATGGTTGATAACTACTTACCCCATAGACCAGGGATGGCGAACCAATGGCACGCGTGCCATTTATGGCATGGGACACACTATTCCGGGCACGCCACCGTTTACAAAGTTCACTATGAAGCGTATTAACAATTAAAATAAATTCACAAAAAACAAACAAAATAAATAAACAATTATTAATAAAAAAATTGACAATTAACGCCAAAAAAAACAATTTATGACCATAAAAACCAAGCTAACAATAAATAACCGGCAAAAAAAATTAGCAGTCTGCTTAAACTAACATCTTACCTAATATAAGTTATTTGTCATCTAATCTGCAACAACAGAAGTCACACTGATGTTACTTTAAGTTGAATTACGCTGATGACTTACACATTGCAAAATGTTTTTCTTTTCATAGTAAATGAAGAGTTTTGAGTTGATAGTATTATTATTTTCCCAATAATCACGAAGTCAAAATTATTTGACGGCACGTCTATGACCTCATTATACAATTTTTTGAAAAAATGGCACGATGGTGCATAAAGGTTCGCCACCCCTGCCATAGACGATTAAATTTTTCATGGTAGAATATAATTGTAGATAGAGATTCATTATAACTAATAATGAATTAATATATAACTTGTTTGTTATATATAGGATCTTCTTGAGACTCAGCGTCCCATTTATTTGAAAAACATTCTGTACAATTTTCACTCAAAGCAAATATCTATATAAAATATAGGTGGTTTTACCCTCGTACGTCTAAATTTTTTAATTAAAACGAAAAATCATAAAAAAGGTGAGAAATTTTATTCAAGTAACCTTTCGGACAGCCTTATGGTACATAAATAATTTAGTACCTGGGTCTTGCCTTGATTTGTTTTATAACTAAAGATCGATTGATTTGTTCGCGAGATTTTGTTTCAAGAACAAAAATAGAATGAGGTACGTAATATAATATAACAAAAATATTTTACAACACGTAAAAAGAGATAAACATTAAAATTTACGAGTTTTCATGCAATAATTGAAAATAATTAAAAAACTATAATTAAATTTAATAAAATTAGTTTTTAGTATGATTTTTTTCGCATCTATGAATTCTTTCTTTTAAGCTATATATTAACAAGAAAAATCGCATTTTCGGCACCTAGGAAATAAGTATGGCAACAATTACTAGAATATAGTAAAATTTACAGTGTTTCTGGCACTACGGGAAGACCAAAAAGCACTTTAATTTTGCAGAAGCGCTTTGATCATGATTTTGAGAAAATTAACAATAAAATATGGTTTTATAATTATGTATTAAAATTTGGAAAATGTGATAAAAATTAGTAATTTCATCATGATACCTTAGAGCAAGGCATAAAAACTATTTATTCGGTTAAATTTACTCTTCAGTTTTGCATTTTTTACTAAATGTGTGGTAATATGAGCTATAATTTTGAAAACCAGAATTACCGGTCTATCGTTACTATAGAAATGGAAAAACTTCCAAATAAATGGTTTTAAAACTGTATATTTTGATTTTACTTACCAGAATTATGTTTTTGTAATGATATAATTTTAAATGAAATTATAATCTGGAAAAAAAGAATTGATAATTCACAAGCAGCATTAAAATTTAAAACTACCAGGTACTAACTATGTTCTTTAATATACAAAAAAGACAGAAAAAACATAGCAATGTGATTTTATTCAAAAACAGATTTTCACTTATTAGCTTTTTGTGATTTATTGAACCAATTGCAAATTTAGGATGCAGAACAATTTATAAATTCGTAAAATTGTATAATAATGAGTGCACGATTTCCGTTAATTTTCAATTCCGTTAATTTTCAGGCGAATTCCATGTTAATCAAGTATTTTCAAAAGGATGCTACTGAAGAGTTACCGAATCAACGAATGTTTTCTCAAAACATAATCAAAATGTGGAATTGTTCCAGAAATGTTATGATTATGAAAATGTCAGGTAGAATATTGTTCGACAATGTCGTCTAAAGTTCATCCTCTGTCATCGAAAGGCAGAAAGGTAAGGAGTTATTTATATGCTTAGATAAAGCACCAGTTTTGTAATTTTATTACCTCATTAAATTTTGTAGTTTTTTCTTTTGATTTCGATTTAGTTTTTTAATTTACAATAATTTGATTACTGGTTTCATCGATTTAAACTTACTATTCTGTATAAGAGGAGCTAACTTTCTACGAAATCGACATTTTTGTGTAAAACTGTTCCAAACCAGTTTTAAATATTTTTTCTTTCTATTTAGTTTTTGGTATTCTAAACTGATATTATCAGATAAATCACTAGGCAATTTTAATAACTCAGCTTCGTTCTTTTGCAAATCAGGCATTTTTTTGAAAAATAAATTTTTTTTAGCTAAAGGGGAATTTTAAAATTCCCATAAGTTTGTAACGTACATAAAGTATTGATGTTGCAACAAAGAAAAAAAAAAGGCTTAACTTCCATTTACTTCCATATACCCAAAATACAACAAATTTGTATGTACACAGGAGTGAAACTATTGCTCCAAAGAATTTTAGGATCAGTTAATTCCGAAGGACGTTGCTTGGATTTGAGGGAACAGTTCTAATGTTCCATGATTTTCTAGAAGAAATGGAGAATCTTAAACAAATTTGCTTTAAAACTTCATAAATCTTAATTTCATGCAAAAAAAGTTTCATTTAACTATTAATAATTATGCTTAACGATTCTGAATCAAATTTCAGATGGATGACCAAAACAGGTTTAGAGATGTTGTTACAAATCATATCCTTTCCGAACAGGTATTTTGATATTTAGGTAGAACAATTAGTAGAGAAAGCACAATTAACATAATACTGGAGAATTTATATGCAAATCACAAAATCACCACTTTTGATATTAAGCAATTTTCAATTCTCAGTTTTGATATCTAGTTATTAGCAATTTTTTATGTTTAGTTACTCGCAGTTATAGTTTTGGATATCTTGTTAATTGCAAGTTTTGTAAGTCTTGTTAATTGAAAGTTTTGTAAGTCTTGTTAATTGCAAGTTTTGTAAGCCTTGTTAATTGAAAGTTTTTATTTGATAATTTTGATTATTCGTTATTTGCAATTCCCAATTTTCGTAAACATATATAATATTTTTGTAGTAATGAAATCATTGCAAAATAATTTTGTCTAGACTATCTTTTCGAAATAAATAATCCAAGTTACATATGAAAGCATGTGTTATATAGTTGTAAGCATGTGTAGTATGCATCAAAAGTTTCATATGAGTCATAACTTTGAACCTTTTTTCTACAAATTAATGAAGTACATTTGTTGTAACTGTAATATAACTTATTGTGTGTTTAATATTTGTCATAGTCATTGTATTAAAATTTATTTTTGATGATTAAAATGATTTTTAAGCCATTTATACGACAAAAATCAAAATAGTTTTCCTGCAGGATTTGGAGAAAAGTGTTAATTTTGAAAAAAACAATTTTTTGTTCATCACATAAAAATTTATCGTTCAATAATTCAAAAAAATTGTAAAAAATTCGCAAAAAAGGCGATGGAAGACGTAATATTTTTCAAAAAATTTTCATTGTATATATTTTCACACACATTTTGGTATTTTCGGAAAATAGGAAGCTCCTATTTCAATATGAAAAGAGTTTCAAACAAATCCCGCCTTGCAAACAATTATAAAAAATTCACAAAGATTCACAAGTTCACAAAAATTCACAAAATTCACAAAGTATCCAACCTAATGTTAACGCAATATATGTTCCGGACTTTTCGGTGCATCGAACGACATAAGATGTTCTTAAAAATTTTCTTTAAATATTTCCAATCTCATGTGGGTATTTTCCCTGTCTTCTGCATTGGTTCAAAATTTCAAGGCTACGAAGTTGAACAATAATAGTCGCAAACCGAAAATTGGTGTCAGCTGTTCAACGACGGTTATAAAATAAAAATAAAAACCTAGAGTAAGCCATGAAGTTTCAACTAGTGAAAAGTAATTTTTTAAAACATCAAAATGAAAATAAATTATGAGAAGATTACTGAGGTTTACGCCATGGAAAAGTTCTCTTCCTATAATTTGTTTGCATTTCGATATTTAAATTTTTTTTTCAGCAATTGGAACTTCATGTCTTACTCTAGGTTTGCCCTGAGTTCACTTTTTCTTTCTTTTAAATTAGTATTGGAGGTGTAAGAGAATTTGTGACAGAAAGTTTCTTTCGTTGCATAGCATCCTCTTAAATTATAATTTGATAAGGATACCGTGTATCGTTAAAGCCTTAAAAGTCCACTAAGAACACAAAAGAAAGAAAAAAGTTTAGGTAACCTTCTGCGTCATGAAAAAAAAAAAAATTAAAAAAAATCAAAAATTGGAAAAGAAAGGTAACACCAGACATTGTACTGGCCTATAAAATGTTTAATTCTTTAATGTGAAAAAACGCGTGAAAACACTGACAAATGAATGTAACGACAAAACATAGAGTAAAAATATTTAACAACGTTCAACATTTCGTTTAAAATTCTTTTCATTAAAACAACAAGAAGAAATAATTTTTTAGCTCTTTTATATGATTTTATCTTATTATTTGAGCCAGGTTATTATTCAGTGTATATATTGTATATTTTTTGTGGTTGTGTTTCCGCGAAGTTTTTAAAACTGTTCGTGAATTTCTGCTTTTTTTTTCTTCCGCGACAAACTTGTAACCTTAAGCATGATATATAAATCTGAATACTGAACAAAAGATTTTTATTTTTAATAAAATGAATGTAGCGTGATCCTCCAAAATCGAACGATGAACTCGCGTTTTCTGCCAGGAAATTGGATATATGGGAACATTCGTGATGAATTAATGCACGCATTTTTCTTGGTTAATAGCCACAAACTTTTCTTCGCGCACAATAGCTTTTTGCAGATTCTTAAAATCGATTCTTCTAAAAATTCATGCTTAAATGATGTTTGCTTCCTTTCAAAAAAATAGTCGTTGTTAACACAAACAACAAATCATTCATTATTTATTCCTTAATTGAAGAAAAATGGGGGCATTTGTTTATCATCTATCGCTCTTATTCAATTATTTTGCTCAAGAAAAAAACTGAGCACTTAATCATCAGGGGAGATTTTACGTAAATTTTTAATTTTAGCCTCAAAAAATACTTATTTATAGAACGTTTTCATTAATGTTTGAATAATACTTATGACAAATTGAAAAAAAAATCCATTCTAATCATTAATTCCAGAAATCGGTAGACGGATCGTGGTGAAGTGCTCCACTCTTCATTGTGTATAAGGAATTGTTAAATAATCCACTGACGATAAATTTTATCAAATTCTTCTCCGCTGATGAGTTCCATAAAATTATTTTGTTTTCCCCCAGGGATACTATATTTTCCCACATACAACAGATTACTTAGGGAAAAAATTCTCCTTAAAAAACATAGAGGTAAATTAAGTTTTTGCGTTGGCAAGCCTTAAAAGGTGGGAATAATAATAATAATTACAGCTACTTTTCAATTCTACTTCATATAGAACATGTAAATATTATTATCTTAAATTGTTCCATTAAAAAAAAAGTTTTAGGCATTTTTTTAAAGTACGCAAAATAAATTTGGTTAATTTTCTGTAATATTTTATTTCTCATACAATATGGGACATTAGTAAATAATTAAGATTAGTTATGATAGTTAAATGGTCATTTTTGAAACAGTTCTCCCCTGCATAATATATTGATTATATTCCCAAGGATATGCATGATAAAAGTGTACGAATAATAAAATATATAAAATGTATCTTTATAATTGAAATTTTCTTTTGGAAAAAATATATATTGATTTGATTTTAGATATTCAAAAATTGAGATGTATATTATGCCATTTTAGCTATTTCGACTTCATAAAGCAGAAATAATTGAAATTATCTTTTATTTTTGTTTTCGCTTGTGCAGAATACAAAAACTCTGTAAATGCTTTTAGACAACTTTTAATGTTACTTAATTGATATTTATCTATTATTTGAAAAATAGTTAAAGTTAGTTAACAGATTTGACTTTAGTAAACTAACAACAGGGCAGATGTGCTGTATTTATCCAGTATCTACATAATTTATATAATCAACTCTTTAAATCTGAAAAACAATTTGAAATTTTAAAACGGTGTTTTGCATTGAAACTTGTCAATTAAATCAATCAAATCTAGCTATAGAAGTCGAATCTAAAATGTGACAGTTTCCTTTTTTGTTAAAAAAAAAACTATTCTTAAAATTTTGTTCATATTTTAAAAATTACTTTTCGGTTAAGGATTTTTTAAGTTAATTTACTTTCATTTAGTAAACTTGTTGGTTTTGAAATAAATACATTTTTGTTAAAGTGTGTTTAGTTAATTTTTATATCATTATATATTTTTTAATTTAAAAGTAGTGAGTTTACTTGTGTTTATCAAAGCTACACTGTAAAAAATTCCGGATCAAATTCCGGTAAAAAATACTGACTCACCTTCTGTAATTTTTATCGGAATATGTTACAGAACAAAAATCTAATATACAGTAATTCGTATAGCAATAATTACCGTAAAATAACTGAATCACTCTAATTAAATAAATACTACTGTAAAAATTATGGTGAAATATTTTACGCTAAAAATGGATTTTACGGTGAAAATGGTTTTTACGATTGAACGGATGATTCACCCGAAGTACTGATACTTTATGCCGTAATTTTACACAGTGTAGTGTAAAGTATGTATATATTTGAATCAGATTGTTATTTTTGATATTTTTAGCAATCAGTGATTTCTAATTTCATCAAAGGTCTGACAGGGCAGAAATGCCAAGTGTCTCCGACAAAGCAAAATGGAGGCAGCGAACTAAATGGAAAAAACATGACAAGAAATAGCAGTATTTGTCTTTCAGAGTCTACGAAGTCCGAAGAAGAAAGACTATCTCTCAATAGGGGAGAAATTTATTTCTGGAGGAACTTCGCCTATGACCTGGAGGTAAACTATTTCAAAATATCATAGCTATTCAACTATTGATCCATAGCTATTCAAGAGGTACACTATTTCAAAATATATATAGACACAGAGGGCGCTATTTTATTTTGATTAAAAGCAAATGAAACAGAAAAGTAATAAAAATTTTTTGGGACCGCTTAATTTTGAAAAACAGGTATTTTTAGTGAACTTGACAAATCTTTTTATCAACAAAATTGAAAGACTGCCACATGGTGAAAATAATTCTGGTAAAATTTATGAACTTGTAAGGTAATGACATTTTTGGAAAATATATCGTTATTCTGGTAATAAAACCAAAAATATGCAGCATTTAAACCGTTCATTTGGTAATTTTACCGTTCGTATTTACTCACCTGATGGCAGTACCAGGTTATTTTCAAGGTAATTGTAGATAGTTAGTTTATTTTAAACTAGTTGCAGCACTAATGAAATACGTAATACAAATATAAAAGTCAAAAAATAGGCACTTTTATGACCGTTTTCTTGAAAATTAACCGATCGTTAAGGGGTTAATTTATTGGAAAATTCAGAATAATTTTCGAAACTTATGATGTAGGGTCAACCATTCCTTAAAATCAATTAAATTTTTTATTTAATATATTCAAAAATTCTGAATAATTTTTAAAAATTATGACGTTTTGTCGACCTTTACTCAAATTCAACTTAAACTATTTATTTGAAAATTCTGAATAATTTTTAAAACTTATGACGTAGGGTCGATTTTTCCTCCAAAATCAGTTATATTCGTTATTTAATTTAATAGAAAATTCTGAATAATTTGTAAAACTTATGACGTAGCGTTGAGCTTTCCTCAAAGTCAACTAAACTTTTATTTAATTTAATAGAAAATTCTGAATAATTTTAAAAACTTATCACGTAGGGTTGACCTTTCCTCAAAGTCAACTAAACTTTTTATTTAATTTAATAGAAAACTCAATAATTTTTACAACTTATGACGAAGGGACCTTTCCTCGAAGTCAACTAAACTCTTTAATTAATTTAATCGAAAATTCTGAATAATTTCAAAAACTTATGACGAGGGGACCTTTCCTCGAAGTCAACCAAACTCTTTAATTAATTTAATAGAAAATTCTGAATAATTTTTACAACTTATGACGAAGGGACCTTTCCTCAAAATCAACTAAACTCTTTATTTAATTTAATAGAAAATTCTGAATAATTTTAAAAACTTATGACGTAGGGTCGACCTTTTCTCAAAGTCAATCATGATGCAAGCATGGAAGACACTGGTCACGTTTTGACTCAGGAATGGAAGTTGGAAACACCAAGAATTGTTCTGGTGGTTATGTCCAATGCCGCCCCATTAACGAACTGGACGAACACCCGCCAGATCAAAAATTTCCAGAAAGGACTCATTAGAGTAAGTGTTTTTTCACTTAATAGATTGCTAATTTATTCTGTTCATACTGACCCATATTTTATTATTGGAATTTTTCGCTCTTTGATACGCTCCGTAGTTCTACGAAAGTAATTAGAATTCAATAGTGTCAACCATATTTAATAATGTTAAAAGTTAAAATTGAATATTAAACTTTAAAATGAATTATTTATACCCATTTTGTTAAATAAATACATTCATTATAATTTTTTATAATGAAATCGTTACGTTCAAGTAAAATATAAAAAATGTAAGCGAGTTAAAAATTGACACATTTCATAATGATAGAGTTAAATACTTAAATGTTTCTAAAAAAACCGATGCAGTGATTATTTGCTTATAAGGCAACCACTAAGCATGTTGAAAGTTAATCACTTATGAAATTTTTTCGAAATTTTTTTTCTCAACAGTACCTCATTAAATTTCTTATTTTAATTTGAGAAAATTAAAATGAGAAAGAACAGTAGCTTCTCGAATTTTATTTATTAAAAAAACACATAAAAATAAACAATGTAAGAAATTCCAGATCAAATTATGGTATAAAGTACCGGCACTTTTGGTGCATCATCTGTAGAATCCATTTTTACCGCAAAATATAATACCGTAATATTTACTGTAATATTTAGAGTGATTCAGTGATTTTTACTGTAATTATTACTGTAAAAACTACGGTATATCAGTTTTTTTTAATCCGCAACATGTTCTGGTAAAAATGGATTTTACAGTAAAAGGTACCGGCACTTACCGCACCGGCTGTTTCGGAATTTTTTTAATATTGTAATGATGATAAGGATGAAATATAACTTTTCAGTTCATATAAATCACTATAAGGTTATACCCAATTAGTAATACTAAAATATAGGATTTAAACTATTTTTTAAAAAAATTTGGTGTTAACAAAATATTCAACTAGGGGTTGCCCAAGGTCCCTAAACTTGCGGGGGCTCCTAAACATTTATATTTAAAAGATTTTAATTTAAGGTTTCATCGAATTCAAATGTACACTTTTCTCAAGATTGTGCCTTGGCGATTCATTAAATTTGTACAATATTCTAATTTTTACTCAAGTTTTTATTTTTTTCTGTGAAAAGTAATTAGAATACTCTATTTGATTTAAAATTTAGGACTGCATTTACTTGATACGCAAAGTACAGTCCGTAATATACACATCACGTGGTTAAACGTAATTTACAAATCAAATTCTCAGTCGTTGCGGCTTATTGGACAAATTAAGCGTCTAATTGGTGCAGCATCGAGACGCATGATGCATATGATACAAGCCTTACTATGCACATTGAGACAACTTATTTTATATTTTATAACCATCGTTCAAAAATCGATCCAATTTTCAGTTTACGACTACCAATGCTCAACTCCGTAACCTTGTAATTTTGAACTTAACCCAGAAGATGGATTAACTTATGGATCAAGTATTGGGAGAAATTTTGCGTTTGAGGATGATTTTTTTGATGGAATTAACCCACATTTGCATTACATGAAGAGGAAAACCACGAAAACCCCCACGGTTTGTCTGACGGCAAGGGGACTCTAACCCATGATCCGTCTATCACGGAGGATATTTTACGTTAGCACTGTTGTCTGTGCAATCCGGGTGCGGAATTCGTATTGACCAGCCATCGCTTGGATTTAAACTCGGTTCACCTCATTAGAAGGCGAACTCTCTATCCCCTGAGCCACCACGGCTTCTGGTGCAGCTTATTTTATTTTATAACCGTAGTTGAACAGCCGAGGTAATTTAGGGTTTACGACTACTAGTGTTCAACCAGGAGCCTTGTAATTTGAACCCAATCCCGAAGACAGGTGAACTTCTGGATCAGGTATGGGGAGAAATTCACCTTGGTGGAGGGCTTTTTAATGGAGCTAACCCCGATTTGCGTTACACGGAGAGGAAAACCACGGAGACATTCCTCTATTAGCGGGACTGCAAAGGGACTCTAATGCATGATCCATCTACCTCTGAGGATATTTTACGTCAGCAATGTGGTCGGTGTGAGTTGGGTGCGGAATTCGTATCGACCAGCCATCGCTGGGATACGAACCTGGTGCTCTTCATTGGAAGGCCAATGCTCTATCTTTAGAGCCACCACGGCTCCTGGTGAACTATATAAAATTATTATTAAAATGGAAATAATATAAATGTTGGGGCCTCTTAAATAATATTCTGTCCGGGGTCTCAGTTTCTGCTAATCGAGCCTTGTCCCTCTTTATGCACTAAGCGTGATATCATGTCGTCGCTTTGAAACTAAACCGTGGTAACTCAAAAAAGCAAGTTTCTCAGTAGAGCGATTTCTAACTTTTCAGGAACTTGCACCGCAGGTTGACTCGAAGTTATGGCGACTATTACAAAATAGTTTACATTAAAAAAACCCTGTTTCTTTACATTTTTCAATGAACCAGGCCTGATTCTTGTAGCATTTCCAATTTTGTGGTAATTTCGAAATAAGTTAAGGTACTTTGAGTTGCAACACTTTTCTCTAAAACTTTTATTAAAAGTGGAGAATTATTTCAAAATACAACGATGTTCTTCAAAATATCCTCCCGAATATTACATATTTCATTTCAAATCTTGACATACAAAAGTGTAGGAAAAAAATTGCTCTCCTGAAAAACTTGCTTTTTTTGAGTTACCACGGTTTAGTCTCAAAGCGACGCTATCTCCTCCAAGGTTTTGTTGCAACTGGCACACTGCTACACTATTCCCTAAAACCAAGATGGCGAATCGCGCCAATGCGATAACGATTTATCTGCTCTCTAAATTAATTCTATGGAACTATGAAGATAACACGTTGTTTCTCTAAAAGGGGTATTTTTTTACACAAAATGACCCAAATATCTCATTTTTCGATTTTTCTTTTTAGTTACTACGGTTTAGTTTCATCGCGACGACGAACAGCCCCATCAAAAACTTTATGATTTCCTCAACGATATTTAATTTTTCAGACTTACCGCTAAGGATAGTTAAAAATATCATTTTCGCAACTTAGTGTAGTAATATTCTTTTTGTTTTATTTATTTTTCTTTGGAAGGCTACCAACACGACAGAAATGTGGATATTGACCAATGGCATTAACGTTGGAGTAAGTAAAATCATCGGAGATGCAGTTCAAGAAGAGATCAATAGAAGGAATTCTAAAGGTCATTTCCAGAAGCTTCATTGTGCTAAGAAAAACCCAAGTTCGAAAATTGTTTTGATTGGTGTAGCGAGAGAAGATTTGTTGAATCATGGGGAATCTTTTGATGGGAAGGTAAACATTTATCGTCGAGTTTAAAGTTTATCAGTTTTAGTTCTTGAAAGTATTGCATCATGTATAATTTTTTTTAACACTATGTTTTAAGAGTTTAATAAATGCATAAATTGAAAGGCAGTAACCCGAAAATATTAAGTTATCATTTTTTTAAATACTCGAGATGGAATTATGGAATAAATAAAAGTAAACAAATTTAGTTTCGAAAATTAAGACAATATAAATTAATATAAGGACTTAGAAAAAACATAAAACTACAATTTAAAAAGTTTAAAGAAGCAGACGACAGTCATTTCAGTATTAAAACAAGTACCATTATCGGTACTAAAGTACAGGTTAAACAGAAATAACAGATTTTTACTTTATTTCTTCGGTTGAAATTAATATTGTAATGATATTACTTGTTTCTGTATAAAAATAAGAATCATCATCAGTGCCGCGATTCAGAATAAAAACAAAAAATTTCTTTACAACGAGAAAACAGAATAAAGAGAAATACAAGATTTTTTTTCTTTAATTCTTCCGCTGAAATTCATAGTTTGATGATGGTGCTTGTTCTGGTATGGTATTACAGCAAGCTCCATCATTATTGTTGGGATTCAGATTAAAAATTTGTTTCTTCAATTCTTCTGTAGAAATAAATGTTCTGATCATATGCTAATTTTGATATTATAACAGGCAGATAGTGAGCAATATCAACATCGCCAATACTTGGGATAAAGAGAAATACAAGATTTCGTTCTTTATTTCTTCTGTTTGATGATGGATCTTCTTTTGGTATTACAAGGACAATCATTATTGTCGAGCACAGAATAAAAAAAAAAATTGTTTCTCTAACTATTCTGTTGAAATAAATATTCGGATGATGGTGCTTGCTCCGGTACATTTACAAGTACCATCATCAGTGTGGTGTCACAGAATAAGGATAAATGTATAAATATAGAAATAATTTATTTATATCTTTTGAAGTACTCAGATGATGGAATACGTTTTGGTAATCAGAATAAAGAGAAATAATGAAAAATTTTATTTCTTATGTGGAAATAAATATTATGAAGATGCTACTCCTACTCATCAAAATGACTATTAGATGTGTTCTTTGCACGTTCTTCTCTATTTTTTGATATGTTTCGGTACAAATATAAATTTCGTTAATCAGAAAAATTTAATTAATTTGAAAGTTTTACAAAAAAAATGCAAAAATTAAAAAATTTATTGATATTTGATACATTTATTAGATAAAATTATTTTCACAAGATTTAATTAACACAATCAGAAAACCGTACGAAAATAGAGTAAATGTACACATTGCTTTCAAATTAATTAATCAAAACTAAATATTACAATTCTCAAATAGGGATTTCAAAGTGTAAAGATCACTAAATTAGTCAGTGAAAGAATTTGTAGCATTCATTTTATATCTTTTTACGTCAACTGGCTTAAACTTCCAATTTAGGCCAGTTACAATTTAAGTCCATTTGCATCTTGCTTAAATGGCCAGACTTATATATTTACTGATATTATTTTCCAATTATCCTTGTGTATTCAACTAAACACTTTTCAAATTAAACTTTTACACTTTTCAAGTCTAAACGTCTTAACTTTTAAAGTTTGAACAGACCTAAGTAATGAAAATAATTATGATGTTTTTAACTTTCTTGGAAGACTATCAAAAGTAAAAATTAACAATGTAAATAATTGAAGGTTTATTTTATGACTTTGAAAAGGCACAAAAGGAAAAGCTTGTCGATCAAAAAAGTTGTAGCAAGCTTCTGGTGAAGTGTTTCTATCCTTTTAATTTCAAAAACCCTTATCAGAAAAAAATCGAACTTATCTATAATTTTCATCACAACTACACTGAAGAGCCAAAAAAACTGGTACAGGCATGAGTATGCAAATAAAGGGGTACGGAGTCAATCAAAGTACAGCTCTGCAATCGGCAATGCGTATATAAGACAACGAATGTCTACCACAGTTCTTAGATCGGTTACTGCTGCTGCAATGCCAGGTTATACAGATTTAAGTGAGTTTGAACGTGGTGTTATAGTCGGCGCACGCGGGATGGGACATAGCATCTCCGAGATAGCAATGAAATTTGGATTTTCAGGTACGACCATTTCACGAGTATACCGTGAGTATCGGAAATCCGGTAAAAGATCATTATTGAACATATTTGGGATACCTTGCAACGTGATGTTCAGAAGATATCCCTACCCCCTCTTACTCCCACTGGTTTATGGACAGCCCTGCAGGACTCATGGTGTCAATTATCTCCAGCACTACTTCACACATTGATCAAATCCATGCCACGTTGTGTTGCGGCACTTCTGCGTGCTCGCGGGGGCCCTACACGATATTAGGCGAGTAAACCAGTTTTTTTGGCTCTTCAGTGTATCTTGCATTTTTATTTGAATAGAAACTGACCATAAACGAACCCATTTTGCCATAATTTTTTTTTAAATATTTGTCGATACAAAAAAAAATATCGGGAACACGCCTTATCAGTGTCTTTCAATAAATTTTTCAATAAAATAATAATAAAATAAATTCAACAGAGTCGACGAATTGAAATCGAAAACGAAGGTAACAGAGTGGAGGAACAGAAGTTCGATTTGAATCCTGATCATTCTCATTTCCTGATAGTTAAGGACTCGACAATCAGCAAGACTGGAATCAACTATTTTTTATTAAGATTGCAACAATATCTAGCAACAGCGCTTGAGCAGCCAAGAAATTCTGCTTCTGCATACAGTAAGTGAGCGTGCACTTAAAATTGCTATTTGATGCTGCAAGTTTTCGTTATTTTCGTATTGTTTCGAGAATATCTTCTAGTAATGTTAGTTTCCATGTAGGAATTAACCGCTGTACGTTGGGTATTATGGAGATCCCAGTGGTAGCTGTTCTTTTTCAAGGTGGAACTGATTGTGCTAGATTGGCATTAGATCATCTTAAGAAGCATTTGCCTTTAGTTGTAATGAAAGGAAGTGGTGGATTAGCCGACATCCTTGGATTCGCTTACGGCGAAATAACTCAAAGGTCAAGTATATCATATTTGGTAATTACTCAATATCTAAAGTGTTAAATAAATTTCAAATAGATTAGAAATTTAAATTCTCTAATGTCGTTTTTTTAAAGTAAAGATTCAAGTAATTTAATATCTCGTTAAGAGTCACCTTACAGAGCATATCGGAGATGTGAATTTGGATAATACTAGGTTACCCAGAAAGCTTTTATCGACTTTTGATCGGTTGTATATGGACAGGGCTGATTATATCAGAATGATTGAAAGCAAATTATGCGCGCATATTCTAAAAGTTAGAAATCGAAAAAAATATTCATCCCAACTAGACGAATTTTAGAGAAGATTTGGCTAAAAACGTCCAAAAATTTCAAATCAGGAGGGTTTTTGACAACCTCCCCCTTTAGTTAAAACTTTTATTCTATGATGGGGATAAAAATACCCAGTTATTCAGCCAAAGAATAGAAGAGTTCCTCAAAGGGCAATATTTTGAAATTACTGAAATATTTAGAAAAGTTGTGAAAAAAATGGCACAAATGCAATCAATGTATATCAAAATTTAATTCCACGTCCCAATTCTTCTTGAAAATTGGCGAGCAGCCTAATATTTTCCCGTTTCTATTTGATTCGTAAATTGTTATTTAATTCACTAGAATGGATTCTGAAAAGTATTTTAACCTATTACGGACTATATTGTTGAAAAATACCAACGTTTCGTAATGATGTTAAAGTTCCTTCAGCTAAAAAGTGATTGGGCATTTATATTACTTAGACTATATTAATATTTTCTAGTGTTAGCTACACAACAAGTACTTCAGTTGCAAAGTCTCGTAGTAGCATAATTTCAGAACAAAATAAAAATTATTTCTTTTATTAATATATTATGGTAAACACAAAAGTCTTGTTTCCTCCGAGCATAAAATAATAAAGTTATCAGTTTTTTTTTTTTTTTTAAATATGGGAACATAAGTCCTTAATAACTGATGCATCTTAATTAGTACATACTTAAATGACGATTTAATTCATATGTTTAACTTTATAAAGCTTGTTTTATCATTGAGAAATTTCATATGCTTAGGATTAAATCGCCATTTATATTAACGTTCTTTTCCTTTTTTTCAGGCCTCAGGGTGTTGCAGATGCTGAGTTTTGTGAAAACTATCTTAAGCCAGAACTTTCTCGTAAGATATCAGACAAATTTCCTAAGCTGAGAGACAACAGCTTGTCTAGGAATATATTTCGTGATAGAATAATGGATTGCATTCGTTACGCTAAGCAAGTAAGCATTTACCTTAAATTTTTTAACAATAGATCTGGCAGTTATTTCGCTATAATTAAATTTGAAAAGTCAACTTTATACAACGCGATGAAGTATAAAAATATAATGGGCTAAAATCCTAGTATACATTACACGTTTATTGAGATTCTGAAAAATGTCGCGCTATCGCTTGCCGCCAAACTGCAAAATCACACCACGAATTCCAAAATTCAAATGCAAAACATCTAAAAAGCAGTAGTCCACAGAAACTCACCAAATCTATAACTACAGATTGCAAACTTTATCGCCCTCCCAAGCATCGCCAATGTCGCCAAACCCAACGTGTAATGTATACTAAGATTAAGCCCATAATAGATTCAAATTCAAAATACTTTTAACGAACTATTATGGCTGAATTAGATCAGTAACTTAACTGTTGCTGAACAAGCTGCTATTAGGGAGATTTCGTACTTTTACGTTAGCTCTGAAGATTTGAAGCAACTGTACATGGTCGCGTTTTCTTTAGATGCAACGTACCTGTATGTTATGTTGGCGTGATTAACGCTACAAAGACAAATCTACAAGTACGCTGTTTATGGCTGTTAAATGTTGTTTTTAGTTTAAGCCTACCTTCGAACTTAAAACGTGGATAAGGAATGCAAATTTAAAGAAATATATAGATGAAATTTAGAAATGAAATGCGTGATTTTACAACAATTGCTTTAACGAAGAGATCATCTACGTCCATTATAAATGTTTTGTTTTGATTTTTTAGTCAAAGTTAAAACGATATTCCACTTACGGATTTTTGCGTATCACTTACGTTACGCACTGTCATTTACGTAAGTTTGATATTTTTTCACGGGTGCATGCGCATTTCACCGGAATTGCGCATGCGTACTAAGAGTGAAAATGCGCCATTACTTAAAAATCTTACATACGGGAGTTAGCGTAAAATCACGAAATTTTCCAAATAAATAAAACTATACCTTTGAAAGATTTCTATAATAGTCTACGCCTGCATAAAAAAAACTTCAGACATAAATGTTTTTCATAATTTAAGGACACAGCGCATGTTCTAAAACATTTGTGTGGCATAATGTTCGAGATAGAACATTTTGGAAAAATATTAGATGTTTTTAAAAAATTTTCTAAAAAAAAAAAAAAAAAAAAAAAAAAAAAAAAAAAAAAAAAAAAAAAAAAAANAAAAAAAAAAAAAAAAAAATCTAATTCTGTTAAAAATGTTTGAAATACGGAAAATTAATCTTCGCAATGAATAATAAAAGCCTCATTATATTTGGTGGTTATTCATAAAGATAAAAAACTTTTATCACCAGAATGTCAATGTTTCATCACTAAGTTTACTAATAGTCTCACTCACGAATATTAAAATGAATGTCTTGTAGCTTGAACCTAAATACTTGATGCACATTTTTTAAATATTCATATGGCTTTTTTTTTACATATTGAAAACATATTTTTTTACATATATATTTTTACATTTTTTTACATATCAATTTTAAAAAGACTCGCTTAAATTACTTTTAGAATTTGTTGATGGATGATTCTTTCATAAATATCTGACCAAATATTTAAATATTGAATTAATTCTAAATTAGAATTTTATTTTTTATATATATCAAGTTTTGTTTAAATAATTTGTTAACAGAAATTAATTGATTTCCAATTACTTTTGTTTATTAGAGTTACTTATAGATATAATTAATTTGTACATGAATAAAAAGTTTGGAATTTGACATGAAAATTAAGACATGCTTAGAAAATGTGATTGTTTTAACTGATTTTGAATCAATTTTCAGATGGATAAACTAAAAACATTTAAAGACGTCGTTAGAAATAATTTCTTTACTGAGCAGGTATTTTGACATTTAGGTAGAAAAATTAGTACAAAGAGCACAAATTAATATAATAGTGATGAATTTATCAGTAAATCTATAAATTCGTCATTTTTATTATTTAGATATTCACAACTCCTAAAGTTCATAGATATTCATTAATATTTTTCAGTAGAATAACTTGATAAAAAAATATTTCTTTTTAACACTTTATAGATTAGTGCAGCATACATAAAAGCATGTTTTAATAGCATGTCTTGTAAGCCAAATATAGTCCTATGTCTTTAAAGTAAAGTCTTTGTGGAATATGGAAGGTTCTTCACCGCCAGCTAGGATTGAAACAGGGACCTTTGAGTTTATTATTGGATATTCAAACCACTATGGAAAGGGGTCTAAAACTCCAATCAGGATGAGAGTTTCACGTTGAGAGATGACGTGGCTGTGGGACCATGGCCACGTGGTTACTTAAGGGGCCACTTACATTGCATGCAAAAGAAAATTCGCACATAAACCTTTTTTAAGAATTTTTCGCAGGTTAATACAGTTCATCAATCGAATTCTCATTAGTGTGCAAATTTTTTGCATGCCATTAGAATGGCTCATGAGATCGCAGCTGAAAACCTTTTCTGAAGAGGACGCCATAGTGCGGGAGAAAGTTTCCATCGCAAATTCTCTTTCATCTCCATAAGTAATTAAAGAGCCGCGATTGCTCAGGGGATAGAGCGTCCGCCTTCCAATGAGGTAAACCGGGTTCGAATCCCAGCGATGGCTGGTAGATACGAATTCTGCATCCGGCTTCCACTGACCACAGTGCTGAAATAAAATATCCTCAGTGGTAGATGGATCATGGGTTAGAGTCCCTTTGCCGTCAGGCTAACTGTGGGAGGCTCTCGTGGCCTTCCTCTCCATGTAACGCAAATGTAGGTTAGTTCCATCAAAAAGTCCTCCAAGAAGGCAAATTTCTCTCGTTACTTGATCCAGGAGTTTCCTTGTCTTCTGGATTGATTTCAAATTTACAAGGCCATGGAGTTGAACATTAGTAGTTGAACATTAGGGTCGGTTGTTCAACGACGGTTATAAAATAAAATAAAATAAGTAATTTAAAATTCAAAGTATAGAAAAAGTGAGTTCGGGCAAACATAAACTAAGCCAGAAAGTTTCAATTGTTGAAATAAGAAATTAAAAATATCAAAATGCAAAAAATTTTTTGGAAGAGATAGTTTGAATTTTTTTTTCAGTATTTTAAACATGACTTTTGTCTGAACTTAATGTTCTACACTGTAAATTTTGAACTAGTCATGGAAATGAGAATGAGAATTTTGAACTGTAAATTTTGAACTAGTCATGGAGAAGAGAATTTGCAATGACAAGTTTTTCCCGTGGTATAGCGTCCTGTTAAGAAATCTGCTGAGCTCAATCATAAAGATTCGAAGGTACGCACCTTAAACATGCTAATTAATTCGAGCAAACGATATTTTAGTAACGAAATCAGATATACAAATGTATATTTTCTGAATGAACATACCTTTTTTTAGACATATTCGGATTTCTGGCCCCCAAAATATAGGGATAGCCCAAATCTGGAAAATATTGTCCCAATAGTTTTGCAAGGAGAATGATCGGAAGTTCAGACACTTTAATGCTAATTTTACTCTTTGGGTATTTCGCAATGAGTCGAAAATTTTTTAAGAGAATTAAAAAGTTTTTTTAAACATAATTATGAAATTCATTTATCTAAAGATAATTCCATTCAAATAATAATAATTATTATTATTTATTTATTATTTTATTTATAACAATAAAAAAATTGAATTGTAAAGTATACAAGTTTTTGCACCATTTTACAGAGTGTAATTTTTTATGTCAAAATACAAAATTTGGATAAATTTGAATAATTCGCTCGAATAATTCCTGATAAATTTTAAAAAAGTCAGATATTTGAAATTCGATTTCTCAGGTATTCTCAACTATTCAACCGATTTTGCTCAAATTTTGTTTTTTGCCATTTAAAATTACATTCTTTAAATTTTAATAAAAATTTGAAGAATTAAAATTCAAAAAATTTAGACTGTTATTAAATAAAATTATAAAAATTACAAAATTATCATTAAAATTATTTTTGAATAAACAAATTTTATAATTGTGTTCAAATTTTTCCTAAATTGATAAAAAAATATCAAGATATAGCGAAATTTTGCGAAAAGTAAAATTAACACTAAGGGGTTCAAATTTTCGTCTTCTCTCTTGACCAAACTATTTGAATCATATTTTTCAGACTGAGCTATACTTTGGTAGTTAGGGATCATAATCCGTTTACTTAGAGAAAATGCGTTTTTGTGTCCGATTTCGTAATTCAAAATGTTATCTTCACTAATTAATTAGTAAACCGCATTGTACCTTTAAGATTGACATTTAGTACGTGAAATTCCGATCATTTGATCAAAAGCACACTGTATATTCGAAGTCCATGGTAATAGATTTAAATTAATTTTCGTATCATTGAAATCATTTTCATATAATGAAAATATTTCGTTAGTTAAAAATAGCTTTTCTTTCTACTTAATAACCTTATATATTTCTGTTATTAAGTAGACGTTTGTTTTAAATTAGTTTGATAATCAACGCAGTAAATAAAGTTAGTGATTCATCTTATTTCTAGTGATTCGTTAGTGATTCATCTTAAGTCTTCATTTTAGAAGAGGTGAAATTAAAAAAAAATAGAGAAAGTATTTTATTTTTATACAATAGATGTACCTCTGTGTGTAACAGATTTTTCATTATAGTGTGTAAATGTAATTTTTATGTTATGTATAATATCATATTGTGTACATATTCTCTTCATACTCTAGAATGACCAAGTGTATTTGACAGTATTGAACATATACGAACATAGCTGTAATCTTGAAAATTTAGGGAATCATCTTTTGAGATCTCTATTCAAATGTAAGTAATATTTCACAATTTATAATTGTTCAGCAATTATAAATAAACCACGTAGAGACAAATAAACATAAATCATCCTGAAAAATATTTGGTCGGATGATACAATTTGACTAAGAATGTTCAATATTTTTTTCTTACGTGGTTTATTACTGTAAAATTGAGAGACCCAGAAATTAATTCGCCATAATATTTTACCAAACAAGAGCACACACTCAAGAAATAAATTTTAATTTTACTTTCAAAAAAAATTTGCAACCAGCCCTTTCATAAATTTATAAAATTTAAAAAGATTATCTCCTAAACTTTTTTTTACTTGGTGCAGTCAATAAATTACGGAAATAGGTTATTGCAGGTTATTATAGGTAAATAACAAAATAATTGGTCATTAGATTACACTTAAAATATGTTTTGATATTCGATAATAACTTTAATAAATGTTTTCCAAAGTTAAGCTTATTACCAATAGCTCTTGTTTGTATATATCTAAGTTCTACTATTATAGGTACTAGGTTGTACTATTATAAAAGACTATGAAATAGTAAACAAAGGTTTCCAATTGTTTCACTAATTTAACTCACATACTTTTATTCTTTCTTTAATGTTATTTTTTTATGTTAATTAAACATCTATTTACCATTCAGTATTTAACAGATTATGACATAAAATTAAAAGTTAACATCTTAAAATTGGAAGCCTTGTTTCTTTTTTATGCTAAAGCTATTGAATTTTAATTGATTTCAAGTAAGAGTTTTAAAAATAAATGCATTATTTTTTTGTGAAAAACTTAAGATTAACTTACTTATGACAATGCAGCGCAGGTGATTGATAACACTAACTGGCATGCTCAAATGCATAAAGACCTTTATCTGACACTGGATTGGAACAGCCCTCACGTTGCCATGTCCGAAGTATTTTTGAAAGATCCCTCCAATAAATTTAAGGTAAATATTCAGAATTATTTCTTAAAGTTTTATTTTACGATTTATTCCATGTTTATTCCCTGTGTGTGGATTTGAAAGTTATACAAGGTGCGTTTAAAAGTTTGGTGGTTAGGAAGAATAAAACGAATGGAAATGAGATATGGAACTTTCATACACCCTCAAAGTTTACATCTGTTAGCGATTATTCATTTTTGACATCGTCCATAAAGTTGTAAGAATTAGTCTGAAAAGGTTTCATATAAGATCAATTGAAGCACTTATGTCACATGGCAGAAAAGGGCAAAGATTTTACGCTTAACCAAATCTTAGTCAATTACCAGTCATTGCTAATTCTTAATTCTTTCAATATCCATCTAGGTGCCTGCCACAACATCTGTCACAATAGCTTGATTATATCAGTCATTCCATTACGTTCGTTGATTTTTGAGCAGAGTTTGGTTTATCATTCATGGTTTCCTTTCTCTCCCAAAAATATTTGTCGCTTTTGTTTCGTTTGACATTTGGGAAAGCCAAGCACGCCAGCCACTGGCGTTTGCGAATTAAGTCAGGAAGACGCGCCTTTTGGTTGACAAGAGAGGACCGCAAGGGTGAAAGTACTTAGCTTACAACTTCTCGGATAGATAATAGCACCACTCATTTGTGAGACCACTTCCACAACTTTGACATAGATCTGAAGGGGATTTTCTCTAGATTCCTATACTCATGGTACAGCTCAGTGATCGACCACAGCACTTTCAATTCTACCCTTCACGAGCACGCATATCTCATGGACATATCTTGGTAGGTCTTAGCGGAGTCCGATTCTCTGACCACTGGGCAACCAAGTCTCCCAAAGCGTATAAACTACAAATAAGCTCATTTTTTTGCTCTTGGCATTTGTTCCATATGCTTGGATAACACGGTACAAACTTCTGACGTTGTTTTTCCATTTTGTAACAAAACTTCATGTTCGCACCATTTCAATTTGACTCAAAGTTTCGCACTCAACGCTGAACTGATTTTTCTGAGATTGTAATCAGGTTTCTTTGGTACGCTTGGTCTCTCCATAGGTTTTTTTTTATACACACATGGTCGAGTTTTCAACTCATATTGCTTTTCAGATATCCACCTATTCAAACTTTTTAAACACATCTTCTATTTTCAAACCAAAATGCTAAAGTAACCTTTAAGTGTTTGTGTGATAAAGCTTACAAATTGCTGCTTTAAATATAAAAGAAATTTAATAAACTACGAGGCTTCGCCCCCTGCTCGCTGGCGCTCACCAACCCCCGGAACTGCTTTCGCAGTTCATTTCGGATTGCTTCGCAATCCGATGTTCGCTTTGCTCGCTCATTGGATACGCTCTTAACGTCTAGCTTTCGTATATTTTTTGAACTCTGAAGTTCCGAAAACTTTTCACTGTAGAAAATTCTAAACCAGTGCATTTCAATACTAATTTGAAATTGCTAACAGTTCACATATTTTTCTTAATCACACTATTCTAAATTTCAGTTGTTGAGAAAAGTAACTGTTGTAAGTTTTGTTTTAAAGTCCTTCACAGCAGAGGGCTAAAACCATGTATTGTAAAACAATATGAAATAGTACTGAGCGCCGGATGTAAAGCATCGGCTTCGATGAAGATAATTTTGCGAGAATTCTTTTGATAATTCGGTGAGAATTCACCCGATTAGACATATGATGCTCACTACGTGCTCTTGCGCGCCGAAACCTATCAATTAAAACGTATTAGCATTTTATCTAACATGGATTAGCCATATGATGCTCACTACGTGCTCTTGCACGCCGAAGCCTTTCAATTAAAAATGAAAACTGTTGCCAGCGCGAGAAAAGAAATATCATCGGTTTTATTGATACATACATACGTATTAGCGTTTTATATAATATAGATACTATAGTAAAATGTTAAAATTTAATCCAAATAGCCTTTGATATTTACAATTTTAATACAACTGAAAAGCAGTTTTTAAATAAACAATTTCAAGAAACTGAAGCGATAATATTTTACCTGATTAAAAAACTTCACCCACTTCAAAAATATACAGATTGGAAATAACAGTCGACATGTTTCAAATTGTATTTAATCTTTTCAAAATTAACTTAATTATAAGAGTGTGAGATACTTTTTTGTTTGAGAAAACAAGGAGAAATTTGAAAGAAATAGTCATATTTGAATTTCAGTTAATTTTGTTTTAAAATTATATAGTATTTCTCGTTATGCGTATTATGTAACATAAAGCCATGATTGAAAAAAAAAACCTTACTTCTCTTTATCCAGACAATTTTATTTTAGAATATAATAAAGTTTAAAGAGTGTTTCTAACATAATTTTTGAATAATATTTAGATAGAAAAAGATGTCTTCGAAGAGGCCATCTTGAGACCAAATCGAGAGAGTTTCGTAGACTTGTTTCTGAATCAAGGTTTTCAAGTTCATAAGTACCTTACACCTCGTAGACTCATATATCTTTTCAAGAGAATGAGATATCAGGAGTTTTTTCAAACTGTTTGCTGGGAAGGAGCATTAGGATATGGGCCGGTACGTATCTACTCCCGTTTTTGTCATTTCTAAGCTTAATTTTAAGGGGGGGGGGAATTAAATTTTACTTAGAGAAAGTACGTTTTTTAGTCTGTTTTCGTAACTTAAATTATCGGTTGCATTAATTAATTAGTATATTTGAGGTCATTCCTTCGAACCATTAACCCCTTCCTTCTCGTCCCGTGAAAATGACGGGGTGAGGTTTCACCCTCTATTTCTCGCTCCCGTGAAATTTCCGGGCAGTAGTAACGCGCCAATAAGAATAAGACTAATTCATTTCTTTTGCCCGAGAAACATTATATTTCTTATTTTGCACACCAGATGGCAGTACCAAGATATTTTTAAGGTAATTGTAGATATTTAGTTTACTTTAAACTAGATATCAGCACCAATCAAACACGTGTATTTTGCAAAAATAGGCAAATTTCTTGACAGTTTTCTTGAAAATTAACCGATCGTTAAGGGGTTAAGATTGAGTCATAGGACGTGAAGATCCGATCATTAGATCAAAAACTATTCAGGGTGGTCCGTTTATTATTATTTTTTTTGCACAGTTACGTAATATACTTTTTGCTGATATCATACACATTATTATGATAGCTTAAAATTATAGAGCTTACAAGAGTTTCTGTTTCGGAAGTCAAATGATTAAATTTATACATACTTTAAGAAAGATGTTTTGTAAGCAAGGTTCAGTTACAGAATATTAAAGGCTTATATTTTGAGCGTATCGTAGACGTTCTTTAAGATTTAGTTTTTTTCGTTGACATTCATACAAAAAACACTCCTTTAAAACAGATATAAAATGGTTAATAGCCATGGTAACGGACTATATATTTGCAACCGAAAATATCTAAAATCCGTTTTACGTGCAGTTGCTAATAAAAAGGCGAATGTGCAGTAGCACCTGTAATTTTTTGCTCATTTTACAGAGGTTAGAAAAGACTCGGAATAATATTTTAGTTTGGTTACTTACTGAAATTTTCAGTTAGAAGTTATTACTACTCTTATAAAAGTTAAGCAACTGAATTATAGAAAAAAATCAAGGAGTTAATCAATGAATGAGAAACTCAATAAATGAGCAAATCAATGCCAAGTGAATCAACTAACCAGTGATTTTTCGATCTGCTAATTTGCTGATTCACAAATTCGTTTATCTACTGATTTGTAGATACTCAAAATCACTCATTCATTGATTTGCTATTTGACTTATTCGTAGACAAGCTAATTAGTTTATTCATTGGTGCGATGATTTTTAATTTGCTGGTTAATTGATCCCTTAACGTACTTGTTTAACTCACATATTACTTCATCCGTTAATTTATCGATTTTTTTTATTTGCTAACTTATTAGTTTTCTGAGTTATTGATTCGGCCACTGATTTGATGTTGTTGTTGACGTGTGTCTGCTTAGACAGAGGGGGTGCGATTGCTCTTGTTTTCCAGTGGCGCCATCTATGTAAAAGAATTCGACTTCTGCCACACCGTACGTCACACCCGTTTACAGGGCGGACCCATTCATACATCCACAGATCGTAATTTTGACCTGAATCAGAGAAAGATCGATCTCCAATCCAGTACCCCCAGAGGTATTGATTTGTTATAGGAACATGGATGACTTTTGCGACTCGACGGATTTAACGTGCATCAGTCACTTTATTACACGGGGAGTCTTCGGTCGGCGGTGTTCGAACCCACGAACTCTCGGACACGGGTTCAGCGCCCTACCGACCAGGCTATCCCGGCCATACACAGATTTGATAACAGTTTGTATTGTTCATTGAATCACTGGTTTATTAATTTATTTTTTTCATCTATTTGTCGTCCCACTGAGTTATTAATTATCTATCCACTGAGTTATTAATTGATTTGCTTATTTAATCATCGATTTGCTTATTAGTCAACTCTTGTTTGTTTTTTGTTATACGCCCGCCTCGAATTCAATTTTATGTGTAATCCTGCGTTTATTATGTGCATTTGTTATAAGAACGAGTTCCAACTGAAAGTTACTTTAGAGAGACATACAATATTACATTCGTTCTCGAATAGACACGAACGAGCTTGTAAAACTACTTGAAGGAACGTAAAATTAGGGATATCTGTAGAAATTTTAGATTTTTATTAATAATTGCGCGCGAAAGCAAATTTCGACCTTTTAGGGTAACATAAACACATCTAATTATAGAATATCAGAAGCATAAATTTTGGTGTGTTACGGGAGACGTTTTCATTTTTGACCATTTATTAGTATTGTCCTTATTTTATTTAGTTAAGCATAAATTTTGTTGTGTTAAGAGAGATGTTTTCATTTTTATCCATTTATTATCATTGTCCTTAATTGATTTAGTTAAGCATAAATTTTGTTGTGCTAAGAGAGACGTTTTCATTTTAGGCCATTTATTATTATTGTCCTTATTTTATTTAGTTGTCAAATATTAACAAGAACTTTATCGAAACGGATCTGAATTGGCTGATAACAAAAACGACATCTATGGAAAATTTCATAAGTGCTCAAGAACTATCTCTGAATGCAATGGGCATGTACAGCTCCGATCCCAATGCTGCAGAACGAAAGGCTAAAGTACTTCTAAGTTTTTGGGCTGTTTTTATTAATAGAGTAGTACTTGCCAAGACTTTGTGGAAGCATGCAGATCAGCCGATACACCTAGCTCTGGTATTGTCTATGATGACGGAAAGGTTATCTGTGTTTGTGAATGATGCCTCACTTAGAGTGGAAATGGAAGAAAATAGCAAGTTAGTTTTCCATTTTTTTTAAAAATAAGAATCAGGAATTATACAAAACAGGTATTCTGAATGAATTGTCAAAATGAATTTCGGTACACAAATTCTTCAATGTCCTATTCTTGGACATAGAGGTGGCCCCGAAGGAGCCATTCCTCTGTATTAAATTCGCTTACAAAAGCAAGGCTTGCTGGTATTGGAAAGTTGCATTTGTAACAAAAATAACAACAACAATACTTAAGTACTTTCACTCTAAAATGTTGAGACGTGAAAGTTAATTGGTCTAAACTTCTCTCATTATCTCAGCATTAAAATATATATTTTTAAAAATGGTGACTTGAAAAAAATAGCCTTTAACCTCGATCATACGAGCTTTTTTTATCCGAATACCAGCATGTAATTAAGTCAAATCCAATTATTTGTAGTTTTTAAATTTCACACGTGTGCTTAGTTTTTAGCTTTTCTCAATATTATGCCGTGCTTCGACAATTAATCTATGCATGAAGCCATCAAAGTAGGAAAAATCTCTCTTTGTATTAATAGTAACAAGAGTAACAAATAAACTTGTCGTTGAATGTTTTGGTTTTGCTGAAGAAATCTGAAAATGTTATTTCCATTTTTCCACCCATCTTTTCATTATTACTAGCGTGTTTGATCACCATGGCTATTTGGACATCATTGACAGACATGATTGACCCCTTTTGCTAAAAGGAAGCCCGTTATGTTACCAGTGCAAGAAAAGTATACTATTTTTCTTTTATATCGAACTAGGAATAAAATTGAGAATAATTTTTACAACGAATTCAAAGTATTTTACTTATTTCTTTATGTATTGATTGATGAAAGCAGTTTTGAAATCAGTGAAATTAACGCAAGTCAAATATCTAAATGAAATATCCAGTGAAATACATTTTGACAAAAAAGACATTTGTTAAATAGACATATTAAAACAAATCACCGTAAAGCACTCATTTAAAAAAAATATGATTTTCAGTTTTTATTAATGAAATAGATTAAAAAAACAATGTTACCTTTATAATCCTAATATTTAGATCATCCGAAGTAAGTTCTGTCTCAATTACTTCAGATAATTATGGCTCTACTGCACATAAATATTTAAATTATCTATACGTGAAAAGTAATTTGTTGTTTTTTGTTGTTGCATATATTACATAAATTTAAACATGGAGGTTTTTACAGAATAATTTCTTTTAGTTTTATAATATAGATAGTTTCCAGCATAGAATTGTCAGTAATGGTCCGGCTATGAAATTTTATCGCTTCGAATAGGTGAAAGGTTTTGGTTCAAGGAACATGACCCAAATGCAACCATAACTTTGCAATCAATTCTCAAGAAAAGTTTGTTTGAAAGCATCTATTTAGTACTTACATAATAATCTTTTATATAACCAAAGAAACGTTTTAAAGAGAAATAGACCATGTTTGTAATTAGAAATCCTAAAGTTTGATGGCAAATGTTTCCATTATTAAGGATAAATAAACAGAATCATCATATACGTTAGAAAGTTTTGATCCCACAGTGGACTGATCGTAAGAGACGGTTCCCAGTAGATCACCGTAATCAAGCATCTCTGGCAGTGGTCAGTGAGCGGGTGGTTGACCACTTTGATCTGCCTAAAAACGCACCTAGGGTGTACGATATCGGTCCTCGTAAAACTTTTCCAACGTAAAGTGCTCAACTTCGTGTGCAGGTCATCGAGCTTCCAAAGACTGAGGTAGTTATCCTCTTCGCAAAATAAATAAAATATAAATTTTGATGGCATGCCTTCGGATCATCCTCAGCGATATTTTCCAGATCCACTCCAATAGCCTATTTTGCATCTCTAGTATGATGTAAAAAATACTTTTACTACTAGAAAATTTTGCAATGAAAAAAAAAGGCAGCTGTGATGGCTCAGGGGATAGAGCATTCGCCTTCCAATAAGGTGAACCGGGTTCGAATCCCAGCGATGACTGGTCGATACGAATTCTGCACCCGACTTCACTCCGATCACAGTGCTGACGTAAAGTATTCTCAGTGGTAGACAGATCATCGGTTAGAGTCCCCTTGGCGTCAGACTAACCGTAGGAGGTTACGGTAATTTTCCTCTCCATGTAACGCAAATGCTGGTTTGTTCTATCGAAAAGTCGTCCACGAAGGCAAAATTTCTCCCAATACTTGATCCTGGACTTCCCTTATCTTCTGGATTGAGTTCAAAATTACAAGGCTACGTCGTTGAACGCTGGTAGCCGCTAACTCAAAATTAGGCCGGCTATTCAACCATGGTAATAAGATAAAATAAAATGAAAAAGGGGACACTTGTGGTACATGCCTTGTCCGTATTTAGAATTTATGAGAGCTGCTTGATTAGTTCATCCAAAAATCACTAGATATTGTCTAATAGAAAAAAATACCGGTATAATATTTAATGTTGAAACGTAAAAACTGTTGTAATATTCCTCAAATACTTTTTACGAGAAATACTTTAAGTTTAATTAAATGGTTATTATGTTTTTCAGTGAATTCGCTGATATAGCAACAGCATTGCTTGATGCTTGCTACATTGATACGCCTGACAGAGCTTTTGATGTGCTCAATGAGGAGAGTCCAGGTTGGGCCTACAATACTGCCGTGGACATAGCTGCAGAGGGACACAACCGAAGGTTCCTTTCTCATATTTGTTGCCAAAAGTGGCTAACTAGCATGTTTTTTGGAAAAATCAAAATTAGAGATTTATCTTGGGGTGCATTTACAGTTCCTACAAGCATAAAGGTAAGGGCAATGCTAAACTTTGTGAAATATACCGCAGATCAAATCAGAGACACTGCTTTGTTGTGGGGAATGAATAACTTGTTATTTTACTTTGTTTTTACTAAACACATTGTTATTTCTAATAATAATTTTTGTCTACTTAAGAAGGTGTCGCTAAGAAATAACTTACACTAAATAATATAAAAGCATATTTTATTAAAAATAAGAATGTTATGCTATTATATTTGATGGACCGAAATTTATCCAAAAAACTTGGAAGTAACATTTTAATGGAACAAGTTATTTGTTTAAAAAAAATTCCGGTATTCATATTTGTTTGTATCTAAACAAGTTAAGGTAAAAAGTACCGGCAGTCAGGGTGCCGGTACTTTTTACCATCAAATCCATTTTTAATGGAATTTGTTAAGGAACAAAAATCTAATATATCGTAATATTTACTGTAATAATTCCCAAATCACTGAATCCCTCTTATTAAATAAATATTATTGTGAAAATTACGTAATAGTATTTTATGGTGAAAATGAATTTTACTGATGATGCATTTAAACTGCCGGTGCTTTATACCATAATATGATCCGGAATTTTTTACAGTGTATAATGTTGGTTATTAAGAGTTTCAATGATTTTTTTTTTAAATATTTAATATTGATAAATATTTTTAATAGTTTTTCTTTTCGTTTCAGTGAATCTTAAGGCTAGCGGTAAGATACGAAATATACGAAAGAGGTGTATCGATGCATATAATGCAGTAATACCAAAATCGTGCTAAAATAAAATTCCTGCATAAATATAACTAATCATGTAACTGAAATGAATAATTGCGAAAAAGTGAAGGGATATAATATGCTTGTCAACGGAAAAAATTTATTCGCTTTAAAAGTACTTAAGGCAGAAAAAAAAAGTTGATATGTTTGAAGCACTCGAAACAAGGAGGGAATGATGAAAACAAAACAGATTTGAAAAAATCTTGCGTATTCTTTTTTTTTCAATTTTCAAACTTGTTTTGCTTTCGTTATTTGCGTCTATTGAGCCTTGAAAATGAACACATTGCTTTAAGAGCTTAAAACATGTTGAATTTTTCCATTTTAAGAATTTCCAACTTTTCCAATTTTTTCCCCTTCAATAAGCAAATGAAGTTGTTTCATTAATACACCGAGAAAACGGTATGGTCAAAACTACCAGAATATGGTAACATTTGCCGAGTTTCTGGCTCTACGAGAACACCAAAAAGCTCAGCAATTTTGGTAAATAGAACAATAAAATATGGTTTTGTAATAAAGTTTGGTACATGTGGTAGAATTTAGTAATTTTATCGTGATACCTTACAGCACAGCATAAAAAACATTTATGCATTTCAATTTACTTTGTAGTTTTTTTTACTAAATATGTGGTAATCATAACTGTAATTTTGAAAATAAGAACTTCCAGTAAACTGTTTCCATGTGAATGGAACAATTACCAAATGAATTCTTAAAATACAATTTATTTTGGTTTTATTAACCAGAATAATAGTTTTTTTAATCAGAAATGTCATTACTATAGGGTACGGTAATTCTACTAGAATTTTTTCTCCATGAATAACCAATTAAAATTAATATTAGGAATTTTTTCAAACTTAGAAATAAAACCAAATTTTTTAAAAAGTTATAAAATAATCCTTTTTTAAAGGTATTTCTATTACATTTTTTAGGTGCTTTTGTGTGCATTCTTAATTTTTCCTATGTATGGATGGACAATCTTCCAGTCAAAAGAATGTTCCGTAGACAACGATAAAGATATTGTGGGTAAGGGCAAATATGTAATTTCATTTTTCGAAATTTTTGTTTGATACATTTCATTGTTATCAATAGACATTGAAAGGTAAAAAGGTGTTGCTGATATATTTCCACTCATACAATGCAATGAATTGAAGGTTAAACTAAATTAATAAGAATAATATGGATAGTAGGTTAATATGGTGTAATAAAAATTCCTTTATTTTTAAATATGTTATGCAGTTATGTTAAATATTTTATTTTATGTTGTATGACACACTATTTAATCATTTTATCTTACTGCCTCTCTTATTTTTCAGATTATGATTCTGATGATGAGAAAGCGCTTATTGATAAATCAAATGAAGCTTTAAAGTGAGTATTTATGTTATTTTTCGTTCTGTAGCTTTAAAAACACAAATCTAAATTTTTTTTGTATGCATAATGTATGCATGATATTATGTATGCATGATATTATGCATGCATGATATTATGGTTGGTTGGTTGGTTCTAATGCCGCTTGGTGAAACCGAGCAAATTTAAGGCAGAGTGTGAGATTCTTGTTTTTCAGTGGCGCCATCTATGGCCAAGAATTCGACTTCTGCCACATCATACGTCACATCTGTTTATAAGGCTGACTCATTCATACACCCATTCATTCATCCACAGATCGTAATTTTGACCTGGATTAGAGAACGATCGATCTCCAATCCAGTACCCCCAGAGGTAGACTTTGCGACTCGACAGAATTTTAACGTGCATCAGGCACCAACTACACGGGGAGTCTTCGGTCGCCGGGGTTCGAACCCACGAACTCTCGGACATGGGCCCAGCGCCTTATGATATTATAAAATAGCTTAAAGTTTTCTTGATATGTTTCATTTTGAATAGCTAAATAAAATGTATTTGTTTTTATTCCTGATATTCTTCGTTGTAAGGCTTTCAAGTAGACTCAGTTTTTTTTATATTGTTTTCTCTGAAACATATCATGATAAAGTTACAAAATTTTATCAGATATACTATAACACGATAATTTATGTTTAATTTAACCAAAATTATTACCTAAGCGCTTCGGTAAATATTACCAAGCTCCTTTGGTATTTCTATAGAGCGTAAAACAATGATATTTATTTCCTGGTAGCATTGACCATAATTTTTTTTTCAATCTACAGTAATCTCCCCCCTCCCCTCCCCCAAAGAAAAAGATAAAACCAGAACACCCTGATTAATTTTTGATCTAATGATCAGATCTTGGCATTTTAGGACTCTATCTTAATGATAGAATCCCAGATATTTTATTCTAAGATTCTCTCTTAAAAAAGTCGTACATTTAAAATTCAATTTCTCAGAAACTATTCCACCGATTTCTCTCATTCTGTATTTTGCCATGAAAAATTAGAATCTTTCAAATGATGTAAAAAATTATGTACGTAACATTCAAAATGTTTTCGGTTATTACTAAATAAAATAGAAAAAATCATAAACATTTTCTGAAATTTATTTTTTACGTGTAAGCATCTTTGGGTAAACGAATTTTATAATTGTGCGCAAAAATTTTTCAATTTGCTTATACAGTTCTCGATATATGGCGAAACACGCAAAAGGTAAAATTAACATTAAGGGGACCAAAATTAGGACCGCTCTCCTGAACTAACTATGGGGACCATATTTCCAGATAATGGCTACCAGAGATGGTGTTTGGGAGGTCAGAAATCGGAATCCGTTTAAAAATAGGTATGCTAATTCTGAGAAAGTACGCTTTTATGTTTCATTTCATAACTTAAAATATTGTCGGACAAATTAGTTAGCATATTCGAGGTCCTAGAACGTGATGATCCGATCATTATATCAAAAGGTATTCAAGGTGGTCCGTTTTTTTTTATGCACTGTACACAGGCAAATTTCAACAAAGTATTGCACCAAAAATTTTTACAGGAGTTTGCCATAAAAATATTTTTCACCTAAAAAAATTATGTAGAATAACATTCATTGTTATTATTTTATACTAATTTTCGATATTCTGTTATGTGATAATTGTTTTTGCATTTCTCCTGTTCATTACTTTGTACTAATACGTTACAATTGATACTTTTCAATTTATGAATATTATGAATTACATTTATAGTTTTTCTCCATACATATAATTTTACTGAAATTATTACATTTTGGAATTTAGAAGGTCTGATAAGCAGTCTGCCTCAGAAAAATTGAAAGCTGTGATGTGGAGTCCATCAAATTTTCGACGATATGTTGTTCATCATCCCCCTTTACACAAAATGATTTATCTCATGTGGAGTGCGCCTATCACAAAATTCTGGACATTTCAGGTAGTAATTGTTTGTACAAATATTTTACTTTATGTATACACTATAAGAAATTTCGTTTCAAATTACAGTAAAAAGTACTTATAACTTGAGTGCAGCAGCGGTAGAATCCATTTTTCCGTAAAATTTAGTACCGTAATTTTTCATAGCAATATTTCTTTAACCCCAACTATCGGCTAATTTTCAAGAAAATGGTCATAAAAGTGCCTATTTTTTTATTAGTGCTATATGATTAGTGCTGACGTCTAGTTGAAAATAAACTAACTATCTGCAATTACTCTAAAAATATCCTGGTACTGCCATCGGCTGTGTAAAATGAGAAATAAAATGTTTTCCGGGCAAAAGAAATGAATTAGTTTTATTCTTATTGGCGCGTTACTACTGAACACTCTAGCCCGGAAATATCACGGGAGCGAGAAATAGAGGGCGAAATCTCACCCCGTCATTTTCACGGGAGCGAGAAGGAAAGGGTTAATAACAGTCATTTAGCGACTTACGACTTTAGAATATTATTGTAAAAACTACAGCATATCAGATTTTTTGTTCGATAAAACTCATCAATAAAATGGATTTTACAGTAAAAAGTACTTTTACCAGTACTGAGTATCGGTACTTTTTACCGTAATTTTTTACAAAGCACAAGTATTGTATCTATGAAACAATATATAGTTAAGCACTCCCGCCTAGACTGAATAATTATGTTTGCATAATTATTTTTAAAATTTGATTTTAATTAGCATATTTGAGATCACCCCCTTGAACCAATAATATTGTATCCCAAAAAGGGAAGACTCGATTATTAGATCAAAAATTATTCAGGGGGGTCCGTTTCGTTTGCTCACTTTAGACAAAATTTATTTATTAAGAAATATTTCCACTGCATATTAGTTTTAAAAATTACAAGAAAATATAGATTTTGAAATGACAGAATAAATTTCAATAACTTCAATTAGAGTGATTTCAATGTTCTTAACTATTCAAAATAATTAATCTAATGGTTATGTAATACAATTAAGTATTAAAGTATGTTTATGTTTCGTAGTATTTTTCAGAAAATGTTTTATGTTCTATAGAAGTCTTACCTTTTAAATATAGATGTTCTATGTAGTATACTTGGCGTTCTTCAGCTTAGCTGTGATATGGCCGTCTTGTGGTAATCCAACATTGGACATGATTGTTTGTTGTTGGACATCTCTGCTTGCCCTTGAGTCTGTACATCCTGCAATTAGAATGAGGAAAGTTAGTATTTTCTTTGAAGTTTAAGAAGACAATAAAGAATAATGAATTAAGATTTGCTGACTGAATTTATGAATTGAAATTTATGAATTGAATTAATTAATTGAAATTTACTAACTAAATCTATGAATTGAAATTTAATAATTAAATTCCTGACTTCAAATTAAATTGAATGCATGAATTAAAATTTACTCGCTGAATTTATAAATTGAAATTTAACTGAATTCATAAATTGAAATTCGCTAATTGAATTTATGAATTGAAATTTCCAAATTGAAATTTACTAATTGAATTCATGAGATGAAATTCCATTTTGATTTAATTAATTAAAATTACTATATGAATTAAAATTTACTATTTAAATTGATGAATTGAAATTTACTAACTAAACTCATGAATTCAAATAAAATAGAATTCCTGAATTTAAATGCACTTATTGAATTCACTAATCGAAATTCACTAAAAATTCCCTAATTGAAATTCACTAATTTCTATTTACTAATTGAATTAATAAAGTGAAATTTACTAATTGAGTTAAGAATGTGAAATTTGCTAATTGAATTTATGAATTGAAATTAACCAATTCTATTTACTATAACAAATTGTTCCATAATTACCAATCTTTAGTTAGAGGCCTCACCCTTGCCCTCTTGGATTTTAGGTTAAATTTTTTATTTCTGTTTTTTTTATTTCTTTTATATTTAATTTTTTTTTGGGGGGGGGGGGTCACAAAGNTTTGGGGGGGGGGGGGTGAAGTGTTATTAGAAAGCACAATACCTTTCAAAAAGTTAGTAAATAAAGGAGTAATTTTTTAGGTTAAGAGAAATAGCACTAGTTAGTTTTTAGAAGTTTTATGAATTCTTCATCAACTTTAAAGCAATAAAATGATTATACCCAACTTTAACGCAGTAAAATGACACGATTTGTGATTTTGAGATAGTAATTTAAAGCTACACGTTTCTTAGTTCTTAGATATTTAAAAATTTAGTTTTATTGCAATTTAAACTGATAAAAACAGATTTAAATGACGCTAAAAACCTCTTATTACGTTATTTGCATAAAAACAACGATATTTATTAAAAATCTAAAATCACCCAACTATATACTATTTAACTACCTGCCAAAAACTGTTGATCGCAGAATTGTATTGGCTTAATTTTGTATTTTGTCAACAAAAATAATGATAAATAAATAAATAGAACATCTAAAATACTGTGCACTATATATCTGATTGGATTATATATATGATTGGGCGAAAGTCTCTCATTTTACATTTAAAGAAAGATTCAGTCACATAGAGTAAATATCCATCATCAGTTCATTTGAAGAAACTAAATAAAGCGGATTAAAAAAATATAGTTCTTGTCAAAGTGAAGTCATTAGGAACATACGTATTAGATTTTGCAAACAATATTCTAGTGAGCAAAACTACCTCAAAGCAAGAGTTTCTGTTGGATGACATTTAAAGACGTTTTTAATAATTTTCATCGGGCTGGATATTCATTAATGACACCTTCAAATTTTATTAAACCTATTAGTTGATTTTATTGATATTAATTTTATAGATTTTCTGTTAAAATATTAACATCAAATCGTTAGATTTTGATAGTATTCTAAGATATATATTTTTAGAATCCTAGTTATATATATATTTAGGCTGGTGATTACGGAACAATATACATTTATATTTTTTTCAAATATTTTATTATATTTTCGAACATTACATTTATATATTTATACAGCTGAAAAAATTGATTTTTGCTTTTATTTTAAAATTTTACTTCCGAATTTGTATAATTTTGCATTTTATTCTTTTAGAAATTTAAAGCCAAAACATTTGTTCTTCGAATAATGGAAATCATTGGCATGTTCATATTTGTCATTCTCTACCTCATTGGGAGGTTACTACCTCTTAACATTATGGATCCCTACACCATCAGAGTTATATTGTGTCTTGGCTTATTGTACTTCTACTATAGAATAATTTCGATATACTTACCCATATCGCCTACCTTAGGACCATTATTGTATAGAGTAAAATTAATGGTAAGCATTATTCTAAGTAAACATGTCAAACATTTATTTCTCTGAATAACGTTAGTAAAAGTTGCTTAAAATAAGTTGAAGCACTACTTTATCTAGCTAACTTTTCGCTGTTAGTATTATATGTATAATTTCAATATTTTGAATTTTCTTCCGTTTGGGGACAGGTGTAATTAGAATCTGCTGGGATTCGAACCAGGCCACCTCATTGCGAGGCGATTGCTCTACCCCTTGAGGCACTGTGACTCTATTAAAATTATATTAAGAATTTCACACGTGTAAAATAAATTAATGTTGATTAGTTTTTCTTTAACTTAAATAATTTGCATTTTTTATCTTTTTTAAACCAAACTTTAAACATTTTTGATTTTTTCACCTTAAGATATATGCATGTACCAAGCAAATTTCGGAAACGTAGGGGTGATTAGATAAGGATATCTACATTAAAACAAGCTTGATTTTCGCTTGATAGATTTCATCCTTATGAGTATACTGATGCAAAATAAATATAAATAATAAATAATAATAATATAATATAATAAATATTATAATAANAACTAGTAACTAATTATTAAGTGTTACTTCAAACAATATATGCCCTGATAATAATATAATATAATAATAAATATAAATAATAATAAATAAATAAAATATACATGTATACCTTGTTTTAAATATTTTTTCATATATACCTTTGCAATTCAGAATTCAAAATAACATTTTAAAGGTGATATTTAAGCATCAAAGTGTTCCTTGAAGTTATTTCCTGATAGGTACTTTACACGTTTTAAAAATCTTTGCTAGATTTAAAAATTCAAATTAAAAAAAATCTTAATATTTATATTGAAATCGTGGTGTATTTCATCAATAATACTCTGAGCCATTTAAAAAAGCGGATTGTCTTGATATTGCTCTAGTATTTAAAATGAATTCTAATTAAATTGAGTTATTTTTTTAATGCACTGTTATCTAAATCATTTATATCGAGTTAAATTGATACTTTAAGAACACAAAACTCGTGTTTACCAAAACGCGTGCTTAGAGTTCATAAATAGTGCAAGTTTTTACAAATTTAATTTTATTATTGGATTTCTTCATCTATATTATATTTTTAGGTGCTGGTAGACTTCATAAATTTCATGCGTATGACAATATTAGTGATCATAAGTGGAGGGATAGTCATTCACGCAGCTATGTATCCAGACTATCCGTTTAGTGCAGAACTTTTTAGAAGAACCTTTCACAAAGCATGGTTCTCCTTGTTTATGACACCCGTCAGTGATTTGGATGGTAATTCTTGAATTTCACTTATTTTGAATTCCAGAAACTTGAAAGGTTTAACAGTGGTTAGAAATGGTTTACAAATATTTTTAAAGGCAAAATTTTGTAAACATTTAGTTACGTTTCTTTAAATTAATTGTGCATTTTTCATACTAAAGCATGGTATTAATACTATAAATTTTTTTAAAAAATGACATCGTAGGCGGCTAGGAAGTGTTTGGACTGTGATGATTTCAATGAACCAAACTGATTTTAAGTAGTCGAATTTAAAATAGAGGAAATAAAGAGTGAGATAAGTTTTTTTATCTAAACAGATTGGCCATTGTACAGTGTGTGCCACAAAAAAAAAAGAAGAAAAATCGGGCTATCCTTAATAACTTTTAATGTAATGATCGGATCTTCAGGTTCCGGAACTCATTCTTATTGATTAAAGGGGGTAACCTGAAATATGTTAATCAATTAATATGGACGATATTTTAAGTTGCGAAATTAGGCACAAAAACGTACCTTCTCTAAATAAACATGCCAATTTCTCAATGGATTTAGATTTCTGGATCCCAAAATGTAGGGGATAGTCGCAATCTGGGAAATATGGTCCTCGTAGTTTGTTCAGGAGAGCGGTCCAAAGCTTGGGCCCCTTAATCTTAATTTTACTTTTTGCGTATTTCGCCATATCTCGAGAACTATCGATATGAAAAATCTTTACACACAATTATAAAATTCGTAATCCCGATTTACGAATTCGTAAGATAATTTCCATGAAAAAAATAAATTTTAGTAAATATTTCTTATTATTTTATTTAATATTAGCATATCATGTGCGCTAATTAACATATTTGAGTTTACCCCTTCGAACCATTAAGAATAAGTCTTTAAACGTGAAGATCCGATCATTAGATCAAAAGTTATTTAGAGAGGTCCGTTTTTTACTTGGCGCACTGTACATTTCTTAGCACTTTACACATCTGCTTCATTTTACCGGAAGCCTTTCATTCTAAAAATCAATTTAGTTACACAAACTAAATTGTATGAAACTATATAAGTAGATAAAATTAGAAAATAGGATTTTACAGGTGAGTTTCCAAAAATATTAATAAGCAGGTACCGGTAAATTTTTCAGCATAAATTTTTTTAATGGCAGAAAACGAGAATACAGAATATCATTTTGGGGTCCAATTACCCCCCTCTCTTCCCTAGATCTCTGGAACAATTTTTTTTTGTGTTTTGCATTCTGTTGCATGAGATTTTTTAACTGATCTGGAATATATTCACGTCACTGATTTCAAATCTGAAATCTGTTTCTGTGTGCAATCTACAATCCCTTCAGTTCTTCGTAAAAAATAATATTTTTAGTCTATTTTTTGTCGAAATGTGCAAGTTTAGAAACATTATATATAACAGGGTGTCACACAAATGCTGCGACAAACTTCTAGGGAAGTTAGGGTACATCATAAGGAACTAAGTTACATAGGAGCACATGCCCGGGAGCTTCCCTCTTACGAACTCTTTCTTCGTGTGCTTTTGAACAGGTCGTAATAGGGAAGTAAGCCTCGCCACGTACGACGACTTTTCCTCGTATGGATTTCTATGCAAATTTAATCCTGATGATGCGCCCTAACTACCCCAGAAGTTTGTCGCAAACTTCACGCAATCCGTAACGTTTTGAATCTTGTATATTTCAACAAAAAATTTAATTTAAATGCCATTTAAAAATATTTTCGCTTTAGAAGCAAAACTTGCTTCAGATTTGAAATCCCCATACACGAATTAGGCATGCTCAAGTCTTTGTATAAATGCAACAAAAATCTTTTCCCCCCAAAACAACACATTTGTGCCTTTACACTTTGTTTATTTACATATCGTCCATTATTATTTGCTTTTCTTTGTCAGAGGAAGATGAAGACTGCCAAAGAGAAAATAAAGAGATATACCACAATCCAAATGAAACCTATTGTAAGGCAAACAGATGTAAGTTGGATTTTATTTACCACCTTTTTTCTAATTATGAAGTATATTTGGAGTAAATTTTTTGCCTATTCTAATGCTTAAACTATAATCCTTTTGTCTTTTTCAGTTAATGACGAACATTGTCCTACAGTAGGGTTCTGGTCATATGTTTTCAACATTCAGTATTTTGTCTTGCTAAAACTCATTCTCATGACGTTGCTTTATGCGCTTTTCAGGTAAAGTATTTTCCTATTTTGTATTTTAACACTTTGGTTTACCTAAAAAAAAAACTTTTTCCACGTTTGGAATATAATGCGAAAACAAATATAGTCAATGTACGTTTTCAACATTCAGTATTTTGTCTTGCTAAAACTCATTCTCATGACGTTGCTTTATGCGCTTTTCAGGTAAAATATTTTCCTATTTTGCATTTGAACACTTTGGTCTAACTAAAAAAAAACCTTTTTCCACCTTTAGAATATGATGCGAAAACAAATATTTACGCATTGTGACTATAGTCACAATTCGTTCTTCGTAAATATTGAATATTTTATGTTTAAACTTTTTCTTTAAGATTTTTTTTTACTTAATTGTTAAAGTTGAGCAAAACTTGCAACGTTTCTTTCATACAGAGAGCAAATTTTTCTTCAGTTGAAGTATATGAATGCTGTTTTCTTATTTATTAAGGAAATAATTCATATTTTGAAATCTTATTTGTATTATTTTATGCATTGAACCTAGATACCAAATTTTCGATTTCGGGTACATTTTTTTTCAGATATTCAGATATTTCCGAATTTAGATATTTTTAAATGTATGCTTTAGTTTTTCTTGGGTTAACATAAGGGAATAGAATTATTTGTCTTGCTGGCTCTGACTGTTAGTTATGTTAAGTAAATAATCTGAAGAACATGTTTAATAGTTTATTAACCATGAAATAAGTTCCTGGAGGAAGTTAGATTGGAATTATTCTATTGTACTTTGTCAGTACCTACTTCATTACTAAGAGATTTCAGTTTCGATTTATGGACTTTTTCGTTACGCTTCTTTTTTAAGATATTCGCATCTAATTGCGGGAACAAATTAATTTGGTTCAAAGACTTGCCATGAAAAATAAATTAAGGTTGTAAAGGGATAAATTGAAGTAGTTAGGCCATTCTAATAGATAAAAGTAAGTGTAAGGGAAAAAATTGTTCCAATTAAGGAAGCAGGCAGTTGAATTGGAGCGTTTTTGCAGAGGTAGCAGAAATTTTGTGAAGAAACTGCCCGGTAGCTGAACTGCTGGATACAAATTACACCGAAGAGCCATTACATTATGACAACCCTCCATCTATAACAATGGGCTCTCCCAGGTTTTCATGGTCTCTCGCCCAGGAACAATGTTTTCATGGGGCACATTAGGACCCATAATCCTCATAGAACAATCCCTGAAGTCTGTAAGCTACTTGAGCATAGTTGCAGACCAGGTTCAACCATTCATGGCAACAGTTTTTCCTGCGGGGGATGGTGTTTACCAACAGGATAATGCACCATGTCATAAGGGTTGAATCGTCGAGGAACATTCCAGTGACTTTCAAGTCATGTCTTGGCCCCCAAATTCACCTGACCTTAATCCAATAGAGTATTTGTGATCTTACTTGGAAAACCAAATTCGTGCTGTCCCATCTACCCCCTCGCAACGTGAGGGAATTGCAGGACCAGTTGGTGAGCGCTTGGTACCAGATACCTCAGACTACCTATCAGCACCTTGTGGAATCAATGCCACGGCGGGTGCTAGCAGTTTTGAGGGCTAAAGGTGGTCCTACATGTTATTAGCAGGTTGGTCATAATGTAATGGCTCTTCGGTGTATATGTATATTTATTACATATAAATTTATTTCAATTATTATTTACACAATTTAAAATTTTTATATGCCTGGTACAGTGCAACTGCATCCAAGCTGTCAGCAGAAAGCGATGCAATCTGGAAATTCCAAAGATATCACCTTGTTGTGGATTTCTCGAATCGCTTGAGACTTCCTGCTCCGTTGAATATATTTAGTTACATTATCATCTTCTTCGAGGTCTTTCACAGTCTGTTGCGCCGTCTTTGTTGCTGTGTCGAAGTAAGTTTAAGTTGAGTCTTCAAATAAATCCTGCATATCAATTCAAAAGAAATATTACCTGTAGAAATATAATGCTAACGAAGTACACTGTGAAAATTCCCGGATAAAATTACGGTATAAAAATACCAGCATTCTGGGTGCATAGTTCGTAAAATCCATTTTACAGTAAAATATTTTGTACTAATTTTTACAATAATATTTATTTAATTAGAGTGATTTAGCGATTTTACGGTGATTATTACTGTAAAAATTGGAGCTCACTAGATTTTTAGTTTCGCAACATGTTCCGGCAAAATGCATTTTACTGTAAAAGTACGGTACTGAGTACAGGTACTTTTTACCGAAATTTGATCCAGAATTTTTCACAGTGTATGTGTTCATAGTGATGTATGAATTAGGGGTGAGCGGCAACTAACCGTCCATGGGAGATTTAATATTCATGAAACATTTGTGCTTTATTTTCCCGCTAAAAGTAACAATCGATGGTGAGTTTATAAACAGCACAGTCATTTGTTTTTTAGTTTAAATTAGGAACATTTTTTGAAATATTTATTTAGTTTAGTTAAATTTTCATATTATTAAAATATACCTTTTGCGTTCTAAATCTGAGAGGAAACTGTTCATCACTGAATTAAGCTAAACTAAATATAAACCAAATATTTCTACATCGTTTACTAAAACACACTATTAATTTATAAGAGTTCCGGACTACTTAACTTTTTAATTTCTCACTGTTGAAATGCTTCGGAACTTAACATTTATAGACACCCTACATTAATCCTTTAACTCAGAATTTACTTTGGACATATTTTTTATGTTTTTTATATTATTTTGTATTAATTTAAGTCAAAATAAGAGAAAAATACTATGCATAGCATTTTAATAATTATTGGTTATGAAATACAGCATCGGACACCAGTGGGTCTTTTCAGCGATAAAGGTGAAATTTTCCATACACGGCTTACTTCCAAACAATAATTTTTCAAATTTGCAGTTATTTTGATTTTTGAGAAACAGTAATTCATCATTGAAATTTCTTTAATTTATTAATAAATTTTCGAATATGAATAAAAAATACCTGCAACTTTCTTGGATTTTTTATTTTCAAGAAAATATCATTTTGAAAATCTAACAAATTTTTATTGTTACTATTAGACTGTTTTTTGTAGTTGAAATATCAAAAAATATTTTTTACTTGTAATTATAGTGTCAGAAAAAATTTGTAAAAGGATAAGCAGTGTTCCATCTGTGGCAAAGAACAGATTATATAAAAATTTGAAATTAATTGGACTAGTTTCATGTGTCTACTCTATCAACAGAATTGTATATTAATTTCAATAAATAAGGTAATATATGATATTTATCTGTAGCAACAGTCTCAAGGCAACGTTAAATCTGAAGGAAGACGTTTTTCTATAAAAGATTACACTTACTGGAATCAGTTAGCGCAAGAGTACGATTCAATCCAAAAATCGAAAGAAATGGAAAGGGATGTACAAGAGAAGCAAATGGATATGTGAGTAGCTTATGCCATTATAAGTTGTTAGAAATTTTTCCGATGCATGGTAAAATAACAATTTATTTGTTATTTTACCATATTCTAACAAAACAGTCAAATAACCAGAAATAAGATGGTATTCAGTGCAATATCACTATCTTAATAATCTCTAAACTCTTAATTACTTGACGAATTGATTTGTCAATTTTGCTTCCTCTATATGCATTCTGAGAGTTATTCAAAAAAAATTTTTATATTTTAAATCTGTCTGCACGGTGTGACAAAAAGTTACACGGCGAAAAAATTCTGGTAAAATTATTTTACTGCATGATAATGATTTTTTCTAGTAAATACAATTCTGGTTAATAAATCTAAAATGTACGGTATTTTAATCATCCATTTGGTAATTTTTCAGTTCATGTGGTAACGGTTTATCGGAAATTCTGGTTTTCAAAAGGTCATGCTCTATGGTATCATGATGAAGTTAACACAATTTTCCACGTTTCCCAAACTTTCTCACGTATTATCAAACCATATTTTATTGTTAATTTTACTAAAATCACTAACAGAGAGCTGCGGCAAAAAATACCAAGATTCTTGGTGTTTCCATAGAGCCAGAAACATGATACTTTTACCATATTTTGATAGTTTTAACCATAATTTTTTTCTCAGTGTACAAGGGTTATTGATCTCCTTTTTTCAGGTATATGTTTTGGTCTTGCAACTCTTTACTCTTAGCTTTTATTTTAAGTTTTTTTAATATGCTGCATTAAATTGGATGCTTTTCCCGAAATTTGTATTTGCATAAAAATTTTCAGCGAAAGATTCGTTACATTGAGGAAATTACTATCTATATTTGTTTAAAATAAAGATAGTAATTTCCTCGAATCATTCGCTGAAAAGTTTTTTGGGAAATGGTTTCGTTAGTGATGAAAAAATGAGAATCACGAGCATTTATTTTCTTATAGAGTACAATTATACAGGACGTTTAAAAATTCCCGAACCCATTTTGGTGTTTAATAACTCATAAAATAATGAAGATATAAACAAACTTATGGCATTTATTGATGGAATAACTTATATATTTTCCTTTTCTGGTTTGAATATCTTTACATTTGTAAATATCGTCTGCGCGTGTGGTTAATTTCAGATAACTTCATTTTCCTGTCTCAATATCTGTACTTTTCTAAATATCGTCTGCTTATTAATTGCATTTTTCTCTTTTTGGCAACTATTGCAATGTTATGTTTACTTTTGATGTGTTTGTTCTATGTACTACTTGTCTATGTGATGTTTTATTCGAGCGGATATTAAGGAGAATGCATACACTACAAGAGAAAGCACATATTTTATGGTGGTTCATAGAAACGAAATCGATAGTGCAAGCACAGAGAAATTGCAGAAGAATTTACCAAAAAGATCCTCCATCCAAAAGCAGCATCTTGCGGTGGAAAAAGAATTTTCTAGAAACTGGAAGTATCGCAGATAAGAAACGTTCCGGACGTCCATGCACAAGTGATTTTGACGTTGAGCGTGTCAGACAGACATTTTTGGACAATCCCAGAAGATCTGTGAAATCAGCGGCAAGAGAATTGGATATGCCAATTTCGATGGTGTGCAAGGTTATTAAGAAACAATTAAGACTGCATGCATACGAAGTTCAAATTGTTCAAGGTTTCGAACCGGACGATAGGCCTAGGAGGATGGCGTTTGCAACAGATATGGTAGGAAGGATAGAAGATGCTGCTGATTTTCTGAAGCGCATAATGTTCTCCGACGAAGCATCTTTTCATGTTTCCGGCATTGTTAATCGCCATAATGTGCTCATATGGGGATCTGAAAAACCCCATGAATACCGTGAGACGCAAAGGGATTCCTCAAATGTTAATGTGTGGTGTGGACTAATACACGACCGAGTCATTGGGCCTTTCTTTCTTACAGAAAAGACGGTCTCATCAGTCGTATATTTAGACATGTTGGAAAACTTCGTATTTCCACAACTAGAAGAGCTTCAGCCACATGTCTTTTTGCAACAAGATGGTGCACCACCTCATTGGGGTATCATCGTTCGTAGTTCTTTGAATGACCATTTTCTAGGAAGAAGGATTGGGCGAGGAAGTTCAATTCTTTGGCCACCCAGATCACCTGATATAACGCCGCTGGATATTTTTCTTTGGGGTTTTATAAAGGACAATGTTTACAGGAGGATCGTGTCGAACATTGATGACCTAAAAGCCAGAATTACAACCGCAATAGCCTCTGTAGATGCCGACATGCTTGCCGCTACCTGGCATGAAATTGACTATCGACTTGATATTCTCCGTGAGACAAAGAGGGCACGCATGCAAGTTCATTGACAAGGGTCATGAAATTTTTTGAGTCTATCTAACCATTTATGTTATTAATTTTAATCTATCTTCATTATTTTATGAGTTATTAAACATCAAAATGGGTCCGGGACTTCATAAACACCCTGTATATTTTTCTAGTAATAACTAATCTTCTTAAGCATGTTAAAAAATATTCATTTATAAGAAAATTTTCCTTTTTCGCAAGCATGCTATGAACTAGAAATGTATAAAAGAAATTCTATCTTTAATTTGCGTAACTACAGTGCGTGAAAGAAGTATAAGGGCAACATTAAAATATGCTTTAGCTTAATTTCATCTAAATAAAGTTCTCATATGTTTGACTTTTATAAAAGTTTGTGTCGGGTAACTATAGCAACCCCCTCCTCTGCGCGCCTGCGCATTGTCCGAACCTCAGTTAGATAGCTGAGGGATACGGATATGAGCAGACATAAGTAAACGCTCTAGTTATGTTATAATGATTCAATTGTATTATACGTATTTTTACTTTGATTTCTTCTTAATAAATATATTTTTCTTATAATCGCCATCACTTCTTCATATACGAATCAAAAGAACCCTACATTTTGTAATAACACTTATAGAGCATAAAAAAATAATTTGGCTTCAAGATGTGGATTTTACAAAAATGAACACTAGAGGAAATATGGAAAAAACTATAAGGACATGTTTGAAAATACTGAAAATTTTCTTCAATAATCCAAGAAAACTACCCTTTTTTCTGCCACGCCAATGATTGCGTGAATGATACGTCATTGATTTTTGAAAGGTAAATTTTTTCCCCAAGCGTCTTTGATTGGAAGGAACCTGTTTGCATTGATATTGCGCTCCATTTTTATAAACTTCTCGGGCTAGATATTCCCTATAAGTTTCCGATTGGATTAAGATCGAATTCTTCATCGGCTAATCAAGTAAATTTAAAGAATTAGCTTCAAACCTGCGTTTTGCGTTCTTAGAAACCTGAGTTGAAGTATTATTCTGTTGAACCTTATTTTAACTTATTCTAATCTCATTCTAACATAACAACATATTTGTCCGAATTTATTTACCAAACCATCACCTGAGCCGTGGCCAATTAGAAGTTGACCCTTCTAGTTGGCCATGCCTGAGCCACAATTATTTGGTCTTTCACAGATCATACCAAAATTAACGATAAAACCATCAGGTCTATCAAAGTCCATTTTTGTCGAAAAGAAATGTTTTTTTTTGTTTTAGTAAAGTCAACTCTTTTTCTCTTATAATGATTTTAAATAGGGGGATGTGACTCAAATTTTACTAAGGGTGTTTATTTAAAGTACTTTGAACAATCCTTGATGAACATGGCAAATTTAAATTTTGTCAAACTTCAATCACTGTCTTTTTTCCTGGCAAACTCTCTTACAATCACTCTTTTCGGTTAACGAGATCAAATAAATTTCTGGCCTCCCAGTTTGTTTTTTCATGCCATACATTCTAGAAATTTTTAGAAAATTAAAATCCAGCAGTTTTAGATCCCTTGATTAATTTTTAAAATTAACCGTTCATTTAATCCACATTCTCGAAAAAGAACAATCTTCTTTATTTCAAAGTTGTAAAGATGAGTTCCTTTTGGACATCGTTCAAATGCCATGATAAAAGTCGAGGAGTGTGACTTTTCTTTCACAAACTAATCTTTTAACCTGATTGTCATTTTCTATTTTCAATAATTACAGAAGAAAAAACAATGTCCTTATTCTTTTTTCCAATATCATTTTTTTTAAAATCAAATATTAAATTTAAACAGACAAACAATTTAAAATTTTAATTAGTTTACACAAGAAATAGTTTAATTTTACTCCAGTTTTTACATCAAAAATTAACCCGCGATTCCATAAACTAAACTTCTAGAATTAGTGACTTTTCGCGTGTCTTAGTACTTTTTTCGCTGACTGTGATAATTAGCTGAAGATAATTTATTTTAGAAATACTGGAATGTTACTCGAAAAATTATAATGCGTTGCATTTTGTTAAATTTTAATCATTGCTTATAAAAAGATAAAAGTGCCTTGAATAATAAAATTCACAATTATACGAATATTTTTATTTTTTATTCAGGATTCGAAGCCTTATGGAAGATTTTGTCTATCACAAACAGATGATGCAAAGTTTGAAAAGCTCTGTACGAGAATTAGAGAGGCTTATGAATTATTCCCATGTTCATTTAGAAAATATTCGCCATCTCGCTAACAGAGATTCTTCAGGTGAGTTATGATGTTAAAAAAATTATTATTTTTCCTTTTCTTCTCAACATTGACAACGAATATGATAAACAATAATATATTGCAAATTTTTTTCCTACTGCTACAATGTTACATCTGCTACGAATCTGGGAAAATACGTAAAACGCATGACTTTTTTTGATGGAAAGTGATAAAATTGTTCGATGAAATTTATTCCAATAACCAGACAATGTAAAATAAAACTTAGAATTAAAAATACTTAAACTGTTATGATTTACAGTTCGAAACCCTTATAAGTTATATATAATGTGAGTATGGTATACCCCTTATAAGTTATATATAATGTGAGTATGGTTTACCCCTTATAAGTTATATATAATGTGAATATGGTTTACCCCTTGTAAGTTATATATAATGTGAATATGGTTTACCCCTTGTAAGTTACATATAATGTGAATATGGTTTACCCTTTATAAGTTATATATAATGTGAGTATGGTTTATCCCTTATAAGTTATATATAATGTGAATGGGGTTTACCCCTTATAAGTTATATATAATGTGAATATGGTTTACCCCTTATAAGTTATATATAATGTGAGTATGGTTTTATTTCTCAATTAAGTCCATAAAGAGTTCGAACAAAATTTGTAAGAGATATTTTCTGATCTGGCCCAACTTTGTGTAATTTGATTTTCTCCTTTACTTCCATCTAGATAAATTAATTCATTATACTTCAAAAGGTATTTTTCGACTTTTAAGTTCCAGCAAGACCGTATTTTATATAAATAAAAGTGAAATAAGTAAGAAGGACAGAGCCATTTGCAACTGATTAATTAATTAAGTTTTTTTTTTCTTATTACAACCAGTTTCCAGCTAAAAAAAATTTAATTTAAAGTTAGAGTAAAGAAAAAAAAATAAAATCGGAATTTTTTTCCGATAAAATGTCTACAATTCAAGCTATTATATGTAATCTTCGGTAATCACATATTATCCCATCAACCATTCTCGCTAAATCAGAAAATTAATTTAGATGTGGTTCCAATTTAAACATTTTCTCATTTTTTACATGCAATAAGTTAGACTTGCATTTTGTCTAATTTTTTTACGATCAATTAATACGCAAAACTAAATTTGGAAGATACCAAAATGACTTAGGCTCACTGTTGGTGAAAATGGTCGACGGGATAAGTACCTATCATTCACTAGTTTGTATTTAATTTTGAAGTTACAATAAATGTCACCCGAATTGTTTCAGTTGTTTCTTCTTGGGATCCTCTACCTGATGCCACCAATCGTAATCAGCCATCTGTGATGAATATCCTATCAAGACGCTCTCCGTATCCGAACACGAGAGTGCAGCGTTTTCCTGTCTCAGATAAATATGTTCCCTGGGAAGTAATGTGGATTTCTTACGATCCTGTGGCATTTACTCAACAGCGTCCAGATTTTCCAGTTCTCTTACAATCACACGTTGATGAGGATATATTGTTGTAAGTACTATATACACCAATGAGCCATTACATTATGACCACCCTCCATCTATAACAATGGGCTCACCCAGGTTTTCATGGTTTCTCGCCCAGGAACAATGTTTCATTAGGACCAATAATTCTCATAGAACAATCCCTGACGTCTGTAAGCTACTTGAACATAGTTCACCCATTCATGGCAACAGTTTTTCCTGAGGGGGATGGTGTTTACCAACAGGATAATGCACCATATCATAAGGGTCGGATCGTCATGGATTGGTTCGAGGAACATTCCAGTAACTTTCAAGTCATGTCTTGGCCCCAAAATTTATCTGACCTTAATCCAATAGAGCATTCGTGGTCCTACTTGGAAAATCAAATTCGTGCTGCCACGCTACTTCCTCGCAATGTGAGGCAATGTGGGGGCAGGACCAGTTGGTGAGCACTTGGTACCAGATACCTCAGACTACCTATCAGCACCTTGTGGAATCAATGACACGGGGGGTACTAGCAGTTTTGAGGGCTAAAGGTGGTCCTACATGTTATTAGCAGGGTTGTCATAATGTAATGGCTCTTCGGTGTATAGTGTTATGCTGTGTAATTCTAAATTAAGACGGGAAAGCCGACAGCACAACGCATTTATTGAACATAGAGAGTGACACAATTAAAACTCAAATTTTGAAAAACAAAGAAAATTTGCTTGCAAATATTATGTTTTTCTTAAGCTTTAAATCTTTTTTCCTAATATTTATTTTATTGATGGATGAAATTTGTATTGATCAATTGTAACAATTTATCACGCTTCTAAAAGCTTTAGTTATGGAGGCTACTTTGGAAAATAACTTCTTTTAAATAATGTGAGATAAAAACTGCCAGCTGTAAAAAAATATTTTAAAAGGGTAAAGGTAAATGCAAATTTTAATCTTTTTTTCCCGTAATGAATGAATTGATTTTTTTAAACCCTTAACTATATTTCTGTGATGCATTCTTATCTGCATGCACTACTTGGTTAAATAGATTTTGAGTAATTGCATATTTTTTCGGTAGGTTGCGAGAAAAAAACGGACCTCAACAAGCATTGCCTGTTTTTGCTTGGAACAGCGTGTCAATTAATCCGGCTGGGATAGGTTTGGACAGACAGTCGTGGATTATTGCTAAAGATGGTTCTACTTTAGTTTATAAGCTGGATAGTGAAGGAGTTCCACAGTAAGTTTTTAAATATATTGTTAATTTAACGTAAAATTAAAATATAAACCATAAGGGTGTAAAAATTACACAATCTATATGAATTCATAGAAACTATAACTTTAAGTTCTTTTTAGAATTTGTTACGTGAATATAATGCTAGAATAGAGTGAAAGTCTCTAAAGCGCCCCTATTGAAAGTTAGCATATTTAAAGGAAATAAATTTATTACTAGGTAAATTTATTCACAGACTAGTGTACCACACATGTCACTAGTATGCTTTTAGGGTTTGGCTAATGTACCGTGCAGATAAATAAAACGATGCCTACATGAGAAATATGAATTTTTCGTTTGTTGAACTTGAGCATTTAGGAGGGTTGCTATTTATATTTCTGGCCTTGGCAACAGTAAGTGTTGCTAGGCAACCGCAGACGATTTTAATCGAAAGTTTGATATTTTTAAACATAAATTCAGCAGACGATTTACCATTATAGCTTCATTTGTGCTGTTAACAGTAAATTGAAAAGTTCTTCTCTTTCAAAAAATGGAATTGAATCATGAACATTTTCGTGCCATTATTTTTCATAACTTTCGACGTGGATTGTCAAGACAAGAGAAGAGTGCTTCGATGAACTTAATTCTTTATTCAGCGATAAAGCGCCATCCTACAGCACTGTAAAAAATTGGTATAACGAATTTAATCGTGGTCGATGTTCGATCCAGGACGAATCCCGTGCAGGTCGTCCAAAATCCGTTGTTGTGCCAGAAAAGATCGATGCTGTGCGTGAACTGATAAAGCAAGATCGTCATGTGACATACCGTGAGATAGAGGCGTCTTTGGACATTAGTATGACTAGCATCAATAAAATATTGCATGAACATTTGAGCGTAAAAAAAATTTGTTCGCGTTGGATCCCGCATAATCTGACAAACGCTCAAAAAAAGGCTCGTGTCGATTGGTGCAAGGAAATGTTGGAAAAATACGTTCAAGGTACATCAAAGGCTGTGTATAACATCTACACAGGTGACGAATCATGGATCTATGCATATGAGCCGGAAACAAAACAGCAATCAACTGTATGGGTCTTCCAAGACGAGGCAAAACCAACAAAAGTTGTTCGAGGAAGAAGCACATCGAAACAAATGATTGCCTGTTTCTTCGGCATTAACGGTCATGTGGCAACAGTGGCGTTAGAGCAACGCAGGACGGTCAATTCTGAATGGTACACGACCATTTGTTTGCCAGAAGTCATCGGAGAAATTCGAAAAAAGCAGAAGAACAGGCGAATCATTCTTCATCATGACAATGCGAGCTCTCACACATCGACTCAAACAAAGGCATTTCTGACGGAGCGAAAGATCGAACTGATGGGTCATCCGCCGTACAGCCCTGATTTGGCACCCAATGACTTCTTCTTATTCCCACACATCAAAAATAAATTACGTGGACAACGATTTTCGACCCCCGAAGAAGCGGTTGATGCATTCAAAACGCATGTTTTGGAGTTACCTCAATCGGACTGGAAAAAGTGCTTTGAAAATTGGTTCAAACGCATGCAAAAGTGTATTGATCATCATGGAGAATATTTTGAAAAACAATAAAACCAATTTCGATCCTACATGTTTGTTTTTTCATTATTAGGCCAGAAATATAAATAGCAACCCTCGTATGATAAACAATTTTAAGTTTTTTTAAAAATGTTTTTGCAATATCCAGATCATGTTGCATATATCTCTAGCTACTATCATTAACAACCAAACCAATAAAATACTTTATATGTCAACAGCAATACAAGAACATAGCATGAAAGATGAATGTAAAAGAACTAAGCTTTTACTTATTTTTACTAATTATAAATTACTGAGAAAACTAATGTTGCTGACGTTAATTTATTTATAAAATCTATGAATTATCTACTATTAGGAGTTTATGAAATCCATGAATCTATTTGTTTTAAAATTTTAAAACAATTTTTAGCTTTAAATTTTTTACTATTCGACACTAAACACTTTTCATTTGTATCCATTTATGCAATATATAATTTTAAAATTTTCAGAAATCCAATGGGTCGAACTGGTTTACGAGGTAGAGGTGCGCTACCACGATGGGGTCCTAATCATTATATTCATATCATTTTAACTAGGTATGTATTTACAATAAATTGGCCACTTACAAACGTAACACCTTTTAAATAAGTGCCCAAATCAAACTACAGAGAAGGGATATATGTTCAAAACCAAAGTTATAATCAGCCAACAAAATAATTACCAGTAGTTATATAAACATATTTGATGCTTCTCATCTTTTTAAAACAAAGTTCAATATTTTTCAAACAAAAATTAGTGTTTTAATTCAATTAATTTATTCAATTTTTCAATTTCGTACATTCAAATTTTTCCCGCAAATAATTTTATTTAAAATCATTGGATATAAATATTAATAATTTAATATTAAGTAAAAATTGTATAGCTTACCATTTAATAATTTTTGATCTGCTGATGAAAAATAATTATATAATAAGATACGAATTTTAAATTAAATAATAAAAAATAGTAATATAAGAAATAGAACAAATGAAAAAAATAACATCTTAATACTTTTTACTTAATGTCAATTCCAGGTAAAGGAATTTCTTTAAAATAAATAAATAATGTAACAAAAATAATAATAATGAAGTAGCATAATGACAATAAAAATAATATAATGAAAATAATATAAAAAAAATAATATATTTGAATAATTTAATAATAACAATGCTAAAAAATGATAACAATAATCGTATCAAATAGAAGTAAATAAAAAGTTCCTATTCACAAAACTAGCTACAGAAAAAGGAAAGATGGAAGATTGAAGGTTTCACACTATCGATTGTAATCCTTATTATTTTATGGGAAAAACATTCGTAAAAAAAGGATTTTTATTTTTTACTGAATAGTACTTTTTTATTTTATTGGATTCCGTATTGAACTAAATTGTATCATCTGCACTAATTACTCAGTACTATGTAGTGAATATGTGATAGTGAATATGTATGTCACTCATAGTGAATATGTGCATATTTGAATTTCTAAATTCGACAAGAAGATTTAAAAACCATTTGTTTTCCATTGCTTGACCTGTACTTCTTATATTTAATGTTTTAGTAAAGTACTTAATACATTTACGTAGGTTCCAAAAAGCACGAGAAGCATTTTTGTCCACTAAAGGCTTGGAATTTGTTGTTTTATGGACAGAAAAAAGATATCATCTTTCTATACCTGGGGTAAATTGCTTTCTATCTAATTATTTTTTTCTCCCTGGTGTACCCAAAATTGATTACATTAGAAATTTGGAAGTTTGCTACAAATAAATGATGAAAAAAATTTTTCAAAAATTTTTATACTTTTATAATTATATTTACTTAATTTACAAAGTTTAAAATTAAATTTACTTTCGTAAATAAATTTTATAAATGAATTTATTTATAGATTAATTTGTAAATAAATATACTAATTACTTTTATTATTAAAATTTGAAGCAGTATTTTTTGATTAAATATTTTTATGTAAAATTAACATCATAGGATTTCTGTTTAAAGTATATGACTGTCTCCTAAATGAAAAGTAAATACATGCGATAGTGCCTGGAATACAGTAAAAATATCAGGTTCCCAATTTAGCGTCATAAAGGAAGGTAGGAGTAGTGCTTAACGGATTGCGTATAAGTGATTAACTAGTTAACATGAGGGTATTTAACTTGATTGTAAAGTCAGACTAGGAAAGAGGAGTCCAGAACAGAAAAGCGCAAAGTAGTGCAATGTTTAGGCAGTGGTTGATTTCATCAATCATTTAGCCTTGACGGACAAAACGTAGCTCTTATGTCACAAACCGTATCTCTTCGATTATCTCAAATTATTTCATCAATCTCAAAAGTTAATTTATTGGAGATCATAGCGTTGCCTTGCATTGGTTCTTGGTAGACCCGAAACTGATGTAATACGCACGCTTCACTGAAACTTTTACACTATTTGTTCTCATCCGCTTTTCAAAGACAATTTTCGGTTTAAAGGCCAATACTTGTCTACAAATGTCCATTTTACGTTTTTCACATGTCACTAAAATCATTATACTGTGCGTTGACCTGGAAGTACCATTCCAGCATGACTTGTACAGATATATAGAAAAAATGCACAGATTTGCTTAGCTGACATTACAATTGCTGATAACAATTGTAACTATATTAGCTATTTATTTGTTACGACTAGAGCCCCTGAATTAGAGCCACAATGGAGGAGTTTTAGATATGACAAATTTACTATTTTTATGTGATGTATTACAATCAGTTGTTACTATTATTTGCTTGCCTTGGTCAAGATTCAGTATTTTTTCAAGAAAATTAAAATTAGGAGTGCAAAAAAATTATTAAGATTTCAAAATGATAACATAACCACTGCCGATTTCAAGCCAACGCAGGATGCAACTCTATTGAATGTGTTTAAAAAATTACTACCAAAAGTTACTACAAAGTTGTTAGCAATGATATTTTTACATCCTTAATCTATTCATTATGCGAATTCCATATATTTCATGCAAGTAAGATCATGAAATTTTGGCTGGAGTACATAATAATATTTTGTGTTAGTTGACTGTTGAGTTGAGACGCTAAATATTTTGTCGTTAAAAATCAATGTGATATTAAAGAAAGAAAAAACGAAAAAAAACAAGCAAAAAAATCTCTAAGCACAATTGAATTTTTTGAATGCTGTTATTCCTAGAAGATTATTGGAATTAATTTAGTAATTTCATTCTTAAAATTTAAATTTTTTAATAATTTCATTGCAATTGGTTAATAAAAAATATAAATAATAATAAATAAATAAATAATAATATAGAATAATAAATAAATGAATAATAATATATAATAATAAATAAATAAATAATAATGTATAATAATATATAAATAAATAATAATATATAATAATAAGTAAATAAATAATAATGTATAATAATAAATAAATAATAATATATAAATATAATTAAAAATGTTTACAATTTAGTAATTTTTTTCAAAATCCTTTTCTTATTAAAAGAAGGAAGAATGCATAAAAAAAGCTCAATTCAAAAGCAGTTACAGCTACGAGTTTCCATCCTCATTTAAATTTAAAGTGGTGTATTAAATGCAATATTAAAGTTACATAATTAAATTTCAGCATCATTTTACCCATAAAAGTTAAAAACAGCTTAATTGCCCTTTTCGAGCATTTTGCTAATATTTGATAGATGAAGTTACTTAAATTTTAAAATAAGAAAGACTTACTCATATAAATTAAGACTTCATGATATCATAACATCGTTACTAATGAGCGAAGAACTTGCACGTACACGATAAAATTAATAACGTTACATTTATATTAGATGATATAATAACATTATACTGCATCGTCTTTTCAGATTTAAAAATTATAACATTCATGAAATTCTGAATTTTTATAAATCGTTTGACATTCATTTTATTTTAAGTAACAAAGAAAAGATATTGTTTTCTAAAATTGAAAGCGATAAAAATAGTCATGAAATCAAACTTTTTGGCAGAATATAAGAAAAATATTATTTTCCGAAAGCAATAATTAATTTAAAGAAAAGTCAACGACATTTTTACTCGACATTTTTACTTAAATAATGAAGCGAATATTATGGAAAATCTTTAGCGACCTGTATTATTTGTTACTTGTAAAGAAAAATGTAGCTTTTTTCAAGTGCTTGCATGCGTAGTAACTTATCGTTTGCAACAGCTTGTTTTAAACTTGTTTAATTAATAAATCTTTTAAAACCACATGTATTAGAAGTCCCGATCAAAATTAATTTATTTTCAAATTTTTTTTCTTCTGGAGAACAAATTAATATATGTTTCAACAGACGCTATATACGTATATGCGTACGAATTTTAAGTATGTTTGAATTAGAATTCAAAATTTTAAAATTGTTCAAAATATTATTACAAAATAGAATATAACAAAAAGCTTAGACGTAACAACTTATAATATCAACACTTATTACTTTATCTCATTAAACGGTTATTAAGTATTTTGTCTCTTTAAAGAAATGAAAAAGCTCTAGTCAGAGAAAAATTTAAATAGAAATATTGTTAAGAAATTGAAAAATTTCCGATACTGAGCAGTTTGATATTTTCCGCTTACATAGATTTGATTTTACAGTGAAAAAGATATTTTAAAATTAGGATAATGACGCATGGGCATCAATGTGACGCCATGAAACGTTCAGTAATGTATGCATGCATTTTTTCATTTCTGTTTTTATATTTGTTTAACAAAGAATATGGAGAAAACAGTAATCTTTAATACTGATGGAAAATAAACGCTCATTTTATGCAAAATATTTTTCTAAAATATTATCATAGTTGAATTACAATCTAAATTTGTTAACGATGCAAATTGTTAATTTATTTTTCTGTTTAGGGCTTTGTGTCAGGTGAGCATAGGTATGAAGTCATCAGATCAATGTTTAAAAATCAATTTATTGGAAATATTGTCTGGACGGAATCAAGCGCAGTTATTAAAGTAAGAAACGTATTCATTTGTTTCACATTTATTAATAACATTATATATTATACCTTTTAAATATTAATCTTTATATTTAATAATTGGAAACGTTGGAATATTAGTTACTTGAGTACGTTTTATTCCTTTGCATCATTTTTATTAGTAAAATGTGTATGAAAATTAAGTAATAACGTAAATATCAGAGTGCAATACAATTTTATTTAAACAGTAAATCATAACGCATTTTTTAAAAATAAGGTAATAAATCAAGTAATAAAAAATGTATGCAATATTTGTGAAAAAACGCATATTTTTACGTTTATGGAACTGACAAATACGTTTCTAAGACTTTTAATTTTTTAATCGTTTCTTATCTAATTAAGTGTGTGAAAATGGCGAGATTCTCACTTAATTATTAACATATTTATGTTAATTTAAAAAACTTTTTGTCAAGTGAACGAAAAGCCGAATTGCATTTTTTTTGAATAAACACTCAATTGCTGTATGATTTCATGCATTACGATCATGTTCAAATAATGTAATTTCTTTGATAGTTTGCCCTTAGTCCACATGGTAAAAAATTACGGATTCAGTAATAAATAACGGCACTTTGGGTGCATCTTCCGTAAAATCCATTTTTACTGTAATATATTAATGCCGTAATTTTTACAGTATTTATTTAATAAGAGAGATTTTATGGTAAGTGTTACTATAAAAGTTACGGAATATCGGATTTTTTGCTCCGTAACATATTCCGGTATAAAAGGATCTTCACTAAAAAGTACCGGCACTCAAAATGCCGGTTCTTTTTACCACAAATTGATCCGGAATTTTTAGAGTGAATTATTCATTCCTGCTGAATAAAAAACAAATTGTATGTTCCAGTTTTTTAGAGATTGTATCATTCCTCCACCTCCTAAAGTGGAGTTAGCTGAATCCAATGAAAGTTTTCCCAGCATTGCAGATAGTGAAGAGAATTTAAAAATCACACACGAGGTTGTATACAAAGGCTACATGGATGATCCTTGCAATACTGATCACGCCTGGAAAGAAGTTGAACTATGGCATATTCATTTTGACATGCCTGAAAATGTGTCTGAAAAATTACAGGTACAAATCCGCTTTTTCGAAAGAAGTATCTATTAATGTTGTTACTTCTCAGTAAAAATATTCTTGTAAATATTCAAATTATTTCGAGTGAGTTTTAATTGTTTCTTATTTGATTTCTACTTTAAACGCTTTTACTTAAATTTTGAAAAAATTGTTCAATGTTTAAAATTTGTTTCTCTACTATTTCTTAAATTTACGATAATAGAACCACTAACTAAAATCGTTTACAAAGAGAAACTCACATTGTTATTAAAGAATTGAAAGGTTTTGAACAATATATTGTTAAGTCACCCATTTTACAAGGTGAAACATTTTTACTGGAATAAGTGTTTTAGTATTGTTTCAAGATTTATTGAGTTACCAGAAATTTTTTAGATAACAGTACATTAAACAAAACAAAAAATCGTTTGTAAAACATGAAAGTTAAGTGCTTGTCACCCGAAAGGGCTCTTTTACAATCTCAGTTTTGGGTCACCATTATACTCCTATGAGGTTCTTAGGTGAGAAGGTAATTCAGTTTTCATATTTAATGCTCATTATTAATTTCAGATTAGTAATTCAGATGTTCATTTGGAGGAAATATGGTAACTTTAACATCACTGTGGGATAAAAGGAGACTTCTAGGTCAAACAACTGTTAATTTAAAATATTCTCAGCAAACTTTTGGAGAAATTTAAAAACTCCCTACAGTTTAATGCATAAGTTTTTTATTTACACAAAATATTAATCAAACGTGTCTTTCATAATTAGTTATTCTTGACAAAAGTATATTAGTTCTAAGAAGAATGAATGACAAAGTAAGGCTGTTTTTGCTATGTCAGCTCTCTGAGAGTAGTAATCATCTCCGTATAAAATTTTAAATTTTAACATTGTAGTAATTTTCAACGCTATAATTTTAACATTATAGTTTGCGCCAATAAATATTTTATAAATTTCTAAATATTGGTAAAATATATTTGTTTTTACACGACTAAAAGGCTCCATTTACTGTTCGATTCGCTCACTAGTGCTGTGGCTGCTTCGTATTTATTTTTGAAGATCAAAGGGAAAGAGCGGTTTATGTCCATTATTTACAAAAAATACGATTGGATTGCCATCTGTTGCAGTTTGAAGATTGCTAAGTTTTGGTAAATGAATAACATAGTGCAGACACAAAATATTAAGTTAAACATTACATTAAGCTGAACATTCAAAGCAACGTCGGTGGCTCTTGCGATTTTTCATTACATAGCGTGATTCATGAATGCGATATAGTCATGTTCTGACATGATAATTATAGTTTAGAAAGTAATTCATAGATACAGATTAATGGGTATTATTAATTTTTCTCCTTGTATTAATTATAGTTTAGTAATAATTATAGTTTAGAAAGTTACATAGTTATCTGCTTATAATAATTATAGTTTAGAAGTAGCTCATAGATACAGATTAATGGATATTATTAATTTTTCTCCCTGTACATTTAGCATTTAATATACAAGGGAAGAAGAAAAAAATTTCTCTTTGTATATTAGATATTTTTTTTTAGATTTTTAGTCTTACAATATATGGCAGGTATGGTAAGTTAACGATAGTTATATTTCAGAAAGTGGCATATAAATACTGATTAATGGATATTAATAGTTTTCCTTCGCGTAATTTATATTGTAAAGATTTTTGTGATTTTGAAACGAAATAAAGTAAAGAACGTTAAGGTTGTATAATATTTTTTTTTATGAATTCTTACTAAGAAATTCATTTCTTGAACACGGCTATCACCACCGCAAATAAAAATAGTTGATGACTGATATTTAGATATAAATTTAATGATATTTTTTTAAATATAATAAAATCAGTTGTGCAATGGAAGTAAATCTTTTAGGATTAATAACTTACATTATTCCACTCCATTCTTAATTCTCTTAGTGAAATAAATTAAAGAATATTTAAGGTACATCGTATTTTTTTATGAATCCTTAATATGAAATGTATGCATTTCTAAAACACAGCTATTACCACCGAAACTAAAAAGAATTGGTGACTGATATTCAGATACAAATTGATATTTTTGGAACCATAATAGAATTAAAGTTGTGCAAAAATTATTCCTTCAGGCTCAATAACTTACACATTATTATGCCATTACTTTTTTTATTCTTTTTAATTTATTTCTCTTAACTAACAATAGTTTTTATTACTTTTTCAGTACAACTTTTAATTCTCGTAATATTTTTGTAACTAGATATTAAACTTTTACAATAAAATGTTTGTTTCAGCCTCAAATGGGATGGAGATTGATAACAGAAGATGCTTTCTTTAAGCTACCAGCTGGTCAAGCTGTTTTACTGCAAGATATTGCCCGGAAAATGAAAGCAACAATACTGTGAATGGTTTTTAAGATATTTTCCGATGAAAGAACCCTCAAACTATAATTTAATTTTATTTAATAAATGCGAATTGTGAGAGTTTCAAGTTGCGCACACACAAAATGAACTTTCTTTGAAAGACAATGAGGACATTTGTGTTGTCTCAAACACTAAAATTCGATTATTTATGATCTGTTTTAAATTTTGATCAAAGTATTTATTTTCTTAAACCTAGACTAGTTTTTAGTTCTTGTTTGATTGTGAAAATTTGTTGAGTATTGGAGGAAGACGACTTAAATCCGATTTTAAATTAATATTCATATTTATATTGTTATTATGCTTCATTTGTTATGTTTTAAAACTAAACTAACTAAGCGCTAAACTAACCATGAGTTCTTCAGATTAATTACAAAACTACAACCCATAATAAATGTACAGAGAGTTCCATAAATATTAATAAAAATTTTAAGCGGAGGTAATTACCGTCTCCTAGAAGAAAGAAAGTCACCGCACCACAGTGGGTCAGCATCCAAGGTTTCGTGGCCGAAATTAGTATTTCGATAAAATTTGTTTCAAAATTTGGGGTTTTTTATTTAGGGGTTTTTATGTGCAGGTAAATTGAATTCATAGTTGAAATTTTGAAATACACTAGAAATAATCAAAAAACAAAATGGCGGCTGAAATAATGCGAGCAACAAAAAAAAATAATATAGTACGCTTAAATGCTTAAATATAGCAATGAAAATATAATAATTTTCGTAATTTTATATTAAAGATGAAAGCAAATTATATTTCCGAAGTAATATTACAAAATAATGCGAAAACATGAAAAAAAAACAGTATATTTAGTCTACCTTTGCAATTCAGGCAAAATGGAGCAGGTTTTTTCGAAAGAAGAAACATCAAAGAAGACAACAAAAGAGAGTTTAGCTAATTACCTCGTGGAACTTCTTGGAACTAAGTTTCGAAAGTCATTCATACATTGCAAAATGTCAAATGATAAGATATAAATTATAAGTTTGTCAAGAGTATTAACTAATCTAACAAATTGAAAAATTGTACTATAATTTCAGACTAATTACTCTGATAAAAATGTAACAGTAAGGGCTGTGCTCTGTCCATCCTAGGATTTTCCAACCTGAAGGTGGGGTGGAGGATCATAACAATAGATATGATCCATCAATGTGTCAAAGGGGAAAATGTATTGTTATGAATAGATCTTTGAAGTGGGGACTCTTGAATTTTAACAAATGTCCATCGCCAAGCATTTGGCTAATGAAACATCTCTTTAGCAACCCCTAAAGATTATACCACCACGTGTTGTCAATATAGTATTTTTAGCAATCAAGATGGATATATTTTTTCAAAATTTGGAGAAAAAAAATCCTGAAACATGAAAAGTACCTCTATTATTTTCATGGGGAAATGAAGAACAAGACAGCTTGGTCTTGTATCAGAAAAGAAAACGGGGGTAGAGCATAAAACAGCAATTTTTTGTTAATTATACTTGATGGTTCATTACACTATCACTTCATTTAACAAGTCCTATACATCTATCTGAATCATTTTAGTTTTGTTTCTTCCTAAAAATCGATTAAAAAAAAGATTTTGTTTTTAAAATTCTCGTTACTCTTTTCAGCCCATTTTGTTAAGATTTAATTTTATTTGTTAAAAATTTATAAATATAACTTTCTATCATATAACTGTTAAAATTACTAAATGTTTAAATTTGTTGTTAAATTGTTGTTAAAATGTTTAAATTTGTTGTTAAATGTGAAATTGAACCATTTATATTTTAAAACGTTTCGATACAAATATTAACTTTTAACAGCATCAAATCATTGTTTTATTAAAATGTTTCAGTTTTTGTACCTTTTGACATGAAATCAAGTGTTAGTACTCGCGTCCAAAATGAAAATTTCGAGAAAAAGAAAAGAATGGATATAATTTTAAATTAAATAAAAATAAAATTTATACCTTTCAGAGGTTTTAGAAACCTATAATAAGTAATGAAAAATTACAAGTTTTTTAACACCATATGCCAGATGCCAGAAAATCAAGCAATAAGCTTGGAACTTGTACCAATTACTTAAGTTGTTGTTTTAGTAACTGCATAACATTTCGTAAACCTAGCGTAAATATTACTCGAGATATGATGGTTTTTTTATTAAAAAAAGCTAATTATTTGTTTTATGGTTTTTTGTTATAACTTTAAAAATATTCAATGGAATTAAACAAACTTTTTGGTGCAATTTAAAATTAATTACAAATGTATTAAAAAAATTGCAAAAAACCGCGCAAGATATGAGTATTCCAAGTAGTTCTTTTATGCTGCGCATGCGCTAAAAAGGAATTAAAAAAAAACATGATCTGATTTTATAAATTCAAAAAATTTCAAGCAGTTCACACCTCGTAGTCCATCAAAGAAAAAAAGATCACGTCATTTTTTTTTGAAACAGTCTACATACACCATACTATTTTTAAAATTAACTGAGATAAAACACAGTTAATAAGATTAATATTTTAAAAATATAAGCTCAATCAAATTTTTGGGAACAATAATTTACTAGACTTTTAATATTAGTTAATTTTTTAAACTACTCAATTTTATACAATATGACTTTGTTTAAATTTGACAGTAAAATATTGTGTCTTAAAAACATTATCAGTGTACAGAATTGCATAGAAAAAAAATATAATTGTAATTAATTAATAAACATGATTGTTGTAGAATATTTCATTATAAAACAATATTGATGTAATTTTAATTTTCAGGAAAGATAAATTACCACTGTAAAAAAGAGAGATTGTTTACTTTTTATATTAAGAATACATTTGAACAAGATAAATAATCAGTGGCGTGAAAACTTTTTTTTGACTGGGGGGGGGCGATGCCAAGTCCCGCCCGATTGTCCGATTTAATATTTTCAAATTAGTTGTATAGTTGTATATATTGTTACGATTAAATATATCTGTTTCATAGTTTTCCCATTTAAATTAGAGAAATAATTAAGTATTATACATTTTTTATGTGCATAACATCAATTTTTTCGTGAACAAGTTTTATAATAATTGAGTGCGCACAAGTAGTTACAGAGTTATACTTAAAAGCTAATAAAGTGTACAAATAATCTTAGGAGAATCCAAAATGTGTCATTTTTCAAACTATGAAACTATTATTTGAAGTGGAAAAAAGTCGTTCAAGATTTATATAAGCTAATTTCCAAGCCTAAGCAAAATTATTCTTTGCCGCTCATTCACTTAAAATTAATAAATAAAAACTAGAGAATAAACTAACTTTAGTTTTTAATTTAATAACATATCTATAATAAACAATTTTGTAGGCGTTACTTCCTGTGAATTAAAGCTCTAAACCTAGAGTATATAATACTTTTCGTATAAATGCTATGTTTATAAAATGAAAGCAAAGCGAAACACCCTACACAACTTTGATTTTAGTAATTGAAATTTCATTACGTTTCAATTTTAATGGTTTGAAAGTAATATGTTGAATAAAATTTTACACACAGTTATAAGACTCGTTTATACAAAGAAAATTTAATAGAAAATATAACTTTGTACGAATAAATATAATTATTTAATTTTAATTAATAATAGTCACAAATGTATAGAAGAGTAAAATATGCAAATATTCATCTTATTTTAAACTATATTATTAAATGAAGAAAAAAAACACTTACGCAAAATTGGCAAAATAGTTTGGGAATATTTCCAAAGCCCGATATCTTTGAAATTTCTGTCCTCAGTAACAATTCAGACGCTTTTGTTCAAATTTTTTTACTTGAAATTACATCATTTAAAATGACATGAAATTTTTTATACTTTACAGTACAAAACTTCTCCCAGCATAAATTAAATAATAAATAATAATGACTTATCTATAATAGTATGTTTTGCATGAAATTTTTGGAGAAAGAGTTTTACAATTAGTGGAATTTTTTATCAGCCTAAACAGTTCCAGATACACCGAAAAATGAAAAAAAAAAGAGAAAATGAAAATAAAAGGACTGGAACTTTGACTAAACAATTGGAACAATGTTTTTGACATGGCGATCACTTCAACATTATGATAGTAGTATATTGTGATATTTTAAGGATTAAAAATCCAAATTCGTTAACACTAAAAATGTTTATTCAGAGGAAGTATATTTTTGTGCTTGAGGTCTTTCTTAATTTAATGTAATAAAATTTCTAATTTAAAATATCGCCTGTTCTTCTTTGCCCAGGGACTTCTTTTTTCTCTTTCAGTCAGAATCTTAAAATAAATTATAATTTTTTATGTATACTTTTATGATTAATATCATTTTTGCATATTTTTAGCTTTCAGAAATTATTTTTAAGAAATAACTTGTTTTTCGTACATACATTTTAAAATTCTAAAAAATTTACTTAAATAAATTTTTGATTGACTAAATAATATAGTTTTATCATTTTACTTAAACTAAACAAAAACAAATTAATTATAGAACTTTTAAAATTGGATATGATGAATTTGAAAATTGATGATAAAACAACATGCCTCATTCGTTATTTAAGTTAATTAAATAATAAAAACAACAATCTTAAAGCCAAAAGAGTTCTATTGATATTGTCTTTCAAAGAAAAAAAATTAAAAGTAGCTATTAAGAATATAGGTCATCAAATAAAACCAAAATATTTTGATTCAGATTATTATTATTATTATCCGGTATATAGAACGACAGGTATGATGGAATTAAGTGAGACACTGAAAATTGTATTTCGTAGGTTTTATAACATCAAAAAATGGATTTAATATAAAATTAAGACTTTGATGAAAATATTGCTCTGTCTATATATAATTTGGTTACCATATGACATATGATATAAAATGATATATCAAAATTAAAAAGAAGTAATAACATTTGGAGCTGATTAAATTAATAAAGTTATTAATTATTACTATTATTTTTTAACTTAATTTTTCAGACAATTTTGGTAAATATCTGTATTGTTATATTGATTTTAAAGTTTATAATACTGGCACATATATCACTTGTGTGCAATGGAAGCATCTAACTTAAAATTAAATAAATAAAGTAATCATAAAAAGTATAAAGTAGTAATAAAACAAGTCATGAAGTGTCAATTTTATAAAACTTCTTGAATCTGGTTAATATATTGTTAAAAAAAATGAAATAACTTATTGGTTTCAAATCGAAAGTTTTCAACACGTGATATAGAAATTGGATGAAATTTTAGGCCTTTATGCATCAAATGTGCTCGCCTTTTAAAAAAGTCACTATTAAAAAAAATATTCACAGTTATATCTTTAACGTCGAGGTAAAAATAAAGTTGCGTTACTCTAGTGTGTGCAGGGTCCTAAAATATGACAATATTTAAAAAAAAGATTCAATTTGGAATATTTTGCCTATTGAAACTTCTGATCAGAATGACATGTAAATATATGTATTCACAACGTCATGCAATTATATATGACTAAACAATCATGACACGGGATTATTTTTTTTTCATTGAAATTCCAAAGCAAATATCATATCAAGGAAAAAAGCATAAAATTTTTTTCCGAAATAAAAAACTCTTTTTAATGGCTTGTCTTGACATTAA